TGGCCAGGGCTTTCCATTGACTTTTAGATAGAGTGGGAGGGAGGAATGGAGAGAGAGAGAAACATTGATGTGAGAGAGACACATCTATTGATTGCCTCCTGCACTACCCTGACTGGGACTGGGGATCGAACCTGCAATCAAGGTATATGCCCTATACTGGCAATCAAACCCGTGACTTGGGCAGATGATCCAACTGCTGAGCCAAACTGGCCAAGGCTCTAATAATTTTTCTATAAGACCTTTCAGGTTTGTGTCATGTACTATATGTCATTTGTGAATAATGAATTTTTTTCTACCCTTCCTATTCTTATTCCTTTTATTTCTTTTTCTTGCCCAGTTATACTGGCCAGACCCTCAGTTCTGTATGAATAGAACTCGTGGTTGCAGAGGTCCTTGTCTCATCCAGTGGGCTGTGTTCTGTTTTTAATTAGGTGGGACAGTCACCATGCTGATGGGAGCTGATGCTGGAAGATGGGTCCTGAAGGGGCCCAGGGGTCTGTGCAGTGGGATGGAGCACTGTGACATGTGGGGACACCCTGCAATTGGAGGTGCATGTCCTCTTCTGATGGCTCAGGATGAGGGAGGAGGGGCAAGGGGTGTCTGCGTGGGTCCTTGTTCATTGAAGTGTGGTCTTCATTTGGCAGCTGTTCTGTCCATTCAGAGTTGGGCGATCTGCAGGACAGTGAGGACCGACAGGGCAGGTGGGGCCTGCAGTGCTGGAGTCAGGTCTGGGAATGAGCTGGGGAGGGGTGATGTCAGAGGTTGAATTGCCTGGTGGGGTGGGTGGGAGTTGCTGGTAATGTTAGGGTATGGGTGTAACTGAGGCAGAGAATGAGGCATCGGCAGGAAGAGGTCAAAACTAGGGGGCAGGGAGCTGAAGGATGACCCATGAGAACATCGAGACCACCCACCAGGAATCAGACCTACAGCAAGGGGGGTGGTGCTCACAGGTGGGCTGGTATGGGTGGTGGGGCTCTCGTGGTGGACTCTGAGTGGGAGCTGAGGCATGAGGACTGGGAGCAAGGTGGGGAGAGAAACAGCCCCCAGAGAAGACTGGTGGGAAGGAAGCAGGGTGGAGGGGAGCCGGGTTCCGTGGGACAGTGAAGGCCTTGAGAGACAGGGCAGAGCCCAGGGCAGGCGGGATTGACTGGCTTCAGGGGAAGGTTTCAGGAAGTTCCTGCTCCGAGCCTATCACACCTCCCTACCATCTCAGCCAAGGTTCTTAGGAGGTGTGGCCCCAGCCCTTTCATAGCCCACTGGGGGCCCCGCCCTTCATGGGGACCTCTGCTGAGTCCAGTTATTTCCAAATCCCTCTTCTCTTTTCCTTTAATTTATTTTTATTTATTTTTTTAATTAATTTATTTTTTTATTCTTTATTAATTCAAGAGAGAGAGGAAAGGAGAGGTAGAAATATTGATGAGAGAGAACATCGATTGGCTGCCTCCTGCATGCCCCCCACTGGGGATCGGGCCCACAACCTGGGCACGTGCCCTGACCGGGAATCGAACCGGTGACCTGTTAGTGCATGGGTTGACGCTCAACCACGGAGCCACACCAGCCGGGCTTTAATTTATTTTTAATCTTTATTTTTATTTTATTATTATTTTTATTCTTCACCTGAGGATATTTTCCCATTTATCATCAGATAGAGTGGGAGGGAAGGAGGGAGGGAGAGAGAGAGAGAGAGAGAGAAACATCAATGTGATAGAGCCACATCTACTGGCTGCTTCCTGCATGACCCTGACCAGGGCCGGGGACCGAACCACAACCAAGGTATATGCCCTTGACTGGAATCGAACCCGTGATTCATTAGTCCGAGAGCCAACACTCTAACCACTGAGCAAAACTGGCCAGGTCTCTCTTTTCCTTTAAAAAGACAAAAGGGTGCCCTGGCCGGTTTGGCTCAGTGGTTAGCACGTCGGCCTGCGGTCCAGAGAGACCCAGGTTCGGTTCCTGCTGAGGGCACGTACCTCGGTTGCAGTTTGTTCCCGGCCCTGGTTGGGTCTGTGGGTGGCAGCGCCACTCGATGTGTCCCCTCCACATCGATGTTTCTCTCTCTCTCTTTTCCTCTTTCTCTCTCTCTCTCTCTCCCCTCCCACTCTATCTGAACAATATATTGGAAAAAAAAATGTCCTCGGGTGAGGATAAAAAAAAAAAAAAAATTAAAAAGACAAAAGGGTTGCCCTGGCCAGTTTGGCTCAGCGGTTAGAGCGTCGGCCTGCGGTCTGGAGAGACCCGGGTTCGGTTCCCGCTAAGGGCACGTACTTTGGTTGCAGTTTGTCCCCGGCCCTGGTTGGTCGTGCGGGTGGCAGCCACTCGATGTGTCCCTTCACGTCGATGTTTCTCTCTCTCTCTCCCTTCCTCTCTCTCCCTCCCACTCTATCTGTACAAAAAATGGAAAAGTATCCTCGGGTGAGGATTTAAAAAAAAAAAAGACAAAAGGGTTTTTTTTTCTGCCCTGGCCAGTTTGGCTCAGCGGTATACCTGCAGGGTAATACCTTGAAATAGTGAGTGAGTTCTAAGGCTTAGTACATTTCTGTAGATACCTCAGGGCATCCTTTAGGGACGGCACCCTTGTGTCTAGCTACCTGAGTGGCTCCAAGCTTGCCCTGCTTCAAATTTACACGTGTTAATTATTAGGGAGTGAGTGAATGGGTGTTTTCCATGCACCTGTGTCCTTTGTCCTGTGAGGTGTCTTGCCCTTTGCCCACTGTGCACAGCCCGTCATGATTGACCTGCTACCACTTTGTCATGTTTATTGTAAATGTTTTTGCCCAGTTGACCACCTGTCTCTATGAATTTGTAGGGTTTGGGTTTTTATTTGAGCTACAAGAGGGGTTTATTTAGGAAGACAGAGGTAGAAGAAGTGCGTGGTAGAAGAAATGGGCTCAGGAAGCAAGTTACAGAGGCAAACAAAGGGCCCTTGGAGCTTAGGTGAGAGAAAAAGGTAAAGGTAACCCGCCTGGGGGAGAAGCGAGGAGAAAGGTTGGGGTGCATTGTAGGTTTTGTTTTGTTTTCACAGTGCAGGCATTTTGCAAATCTACTGTAATTGGATTAATCGGTTTTCTTTTAGGTTTCTGGGTTTTGTGTCAAGTTTAGAAAGGCTATCCCTTTGCTTATTTCCCTCCCGTCTGTGCTTTTATTGTTCCTTACACTGTCTGCTGTGGCTGTGAGGAAGGGTGGGACCCTGCTCTGTGTCGGGGGCTCCCTGCCATCTGCTCCAGCATCCTTCCACCAGCCCTACGGGGCTTCCCTAGCTCCCTGTAGTGACCACTCTGGCCTTCCTCTCTCACCTCTACTGACCACTCATTCCTGGCCCTGCCTCACCTGGACACTGCTCAGTCCCACTTGTCAGCGCCCTTCTTCCTTCCTCTGTCTGCCCCCACTGGTCCTTTCCTTGCATCTGACAGCCGTCCCATCCTCCCCTTGTCACTCGTGTCCTCTGCTGTCCACTTCCTGCTGGGTGAATGTGCAAGTGTCAGCATTTCTCGTTAGGTCCCCTCACCTTGATCTGATCACATCACCCATTTGTCTGAAAGCCTCTGGCTCCCCCCAGCCTGTTGGGCAGAGGCCAACTCCTTGGCCAGGAACAGAAGATGAAGTGTCCTCTACAGCCCTGCCCTCTCGGGCCCTACCTGGTACCCAGCAGGTGTGCACACCTGCCCTCCCAGAACAGACATCGACCTTCACATGTCTCAAAAGTCAAACAATGGGGGGCTTGGGGGGATTGGGAGGAGGGTGTCAATGGGGGAAGAAAAAAAAGAGAAACATCTGTAACAAAAATAAATTTTAAAAAAAGTTAAACAGCCCTGCCCAGTTTGGCTCAGCAGTTAGAGCGTTGGTCTGCAGTCCGGAGAGACCCGGGTTCAGTTCCCGCTAAGGGCATGTACCTTGGTTGCAGTTTGTCCCCGGCCCTGGTTGGTCGTGCGGGTGGCAGCCACTTGATGTGTTCCTTTCACATCGATGTTTCTCTCTCTCTCTCTTCCTCTCTCTCCCTCCCACTCTATCTGAACAAAAAATGGAAAAATGTCCTCGAGTGAGGATTAAAAAAAAGAAAAAGTCAAACAACTGAAATGACTCAAAGCACACACATCCCATCCACCTGCCAGTCTGCCTCTCTTGTGACCACTGTTAGTCGATTCTCAGGTTTGTTGCATAGATATAAATTCTTATTGATTCCTTTTTACATAAAAGGCAGCATATCACTTACAGATCTTATTCTTCTCTTCGATGAAAAAACAGCATTTCTTGGCGAACTCTCCACAGTGGTGCAAGGAGCTTCCTGGTAAACCCCGGGGCTTATTCAGTCCACCCCTTTGGTAGACTGGGAGGTCATGACCGGCGTTTTCTGTCCTAATGGTGCTGCAGCGAGGGGCCTGAGGTCGTGTTGTGGGATTAGCTTCTAGAACATTCCAGAATGACCTGGGAGGCAGGGGAGTACACCCGGGGGTAGCTGTTCTGCACTCACAGAATGTCAGTGGTGAGGGTGCCTACAGCAGCAACCCCAATTTGCTCTTCCCACGGTCTCCACATCCGTGCCACACTGCCCTCCGTTCACGTTTCCTCGGCCCACCTGTTGTGCCACCAGCTCCCCGAACTGCTGCCTGAGCTGCTGAGAGGCCACCCTATGGCCACCCCCTGACCTCTGCCTGCCCACAGTGGACCTGGCTGAGGGCAGGGCCTGTCCTGTTCCCTCTTGTCTCCTGTCCCTGTCCCCAGAACAGAGCCAGGTGGACAGGGCAGTGAGGAGATGGTTTGTCGAGTTACCAGAGCATGACACCGGTCAGGTGACTATCGTGAAGCATGTCTCGCTCTCCCACTTTGGGGCCGGGCCACCTCTTCATGGCCTGGTGCAGCACTTGTCCAGTTTCAGGGTCTCCAGGCTCCTGGCTCCTTTGCTGAGGGCACTTCGGCTGAGTGTCCTGCTCCTCGGCTGCACTGAGCTGTGCCTGCCTTGCCCCCAGCCCTTCACAAACACTGAGCGAAGGTCCCTCTTCCAGGTGCTGGCACGGGGCTGACAAGAGAGACAGGGAGTGTGCCCTCAAGAAGCTCATCCTCTAGTGGAAGAGAAAGGCCAGAACACGGCCCTGGCTGTCCGCCCTGCACCTGCCTGGGAAGCCGCTGTGGGGCCCTTGTCCTGTAGCAGTGGGGTGTTCTGCAGGGACAGCATCTTCCAAGGTGAGCCAAACCAGGGCGGGGCCAGGTGAGAGCCTGGGATAGGTGCAGGGGGTTGGTCCTCTGATGAAGTCAAGGGTGTCCCTGGAGGCCTTGCTGCAGTGGGTGCCCTTGCTGTCCCAGTGTCTGGAATGGCTGTCCCCACTTTCTCGCCCTCTCTGCTCCTGCAGGGCCTGAAACACTGGCCTTTCACCAGGGCAGTGTCAGCTCTGCATGGGGTTCTGGTGAACTGGTCACAGCCCCTCACCATGACATTTAGATGACCTCAACTTCACTTGCCTGTGTGTATTTTTCTGCCAAATGACAACACACTTTACTTTTCCTTGTCAGGGGCACCTATGGAGTTTCCCATTTTTTGCTGTGATGGATAATGCCACAAATAAAACCAGCTCTTTGATCGGCAGGTTATTGGAACCCACCCAGCGAGCCTAAGCACCACAGATGTGAACCCCCAGAACCGGGGGTAGCAGGTGCTGGGCCTTGCAGCTGGGCTGCCCTGTTCCCCAGCATCTCTCTGAGATTCTTCCTCCCTCCCCACCCAGATTCTGGCTTTTGCTGCACTGTTTCTTGCTCTCACAGGTGCTGTGAAGTGGGCATGAGAGGCAGTGTAGTGCAGTGGTTAATGGGACTCTGCATTTAGGCATAGGCTCAGGGCAGTGAGGAGATGGTCAGGACATGTGGAAAATGGGGATAATGACTAGGACCTACTGGAGGAAGCCAGTGGTAGTGGGTATGGAGGGGGCTGCTGAGAAATTTCCTGGGCTGGAGTCTAGGGGTCAGGGCCTCCCATTCAGTGGTGCTCTCAGTAGTTTTGGGGACAGCCCAGGGGTACAGCCTGAGGAGGTGGAACCGTTGCCATTGTCCCTCCAGAGGGCTCCTCCCTACTCAGCTCCACACTCCTGTGCAGCTTGCCTGGGCATAGAGCTAAGAACTGGAAAATGTGGCTCAGATTATCTCTGTTTGACATTCCAGGGAGGCTTGGGGGAGGATTTGTAGATAGAGGCGGGAGCTGCCCTGCTTAGCCCCCCTCGGCCTGGGTGTGGTGTGTTTGGCCATTCAGTGGGACCCTACTGAGCCAGGCTCGTCTTCCTGGCTCCGCTGAGGGCAGGTCTCCCAGTTGTGGCAGCTCTTCCTGGAGTGTGGCTGGTGAGAGGCAGCAGGCAGGGTTCAAGGGGCTTATGCTGGGGGGAGGCATTGGGCCCTTTGGTGCCCCCTCAGTGGAGAAGGTCCCGGGATGGGGCACCTGCTGCAGTGGGGCCCTGGGGTCACCTTGGGTACCTCCTTTCTCTCAGAGGATGCAGTCCAGCTGCCCAAGGTCACCTGAAGACTGCCTTTCGGCAGCTTCCAGGAAGGAGTGCGGCTAAAAGGGCCCAGCCAGAGCCTAGGGCAGAGGGACCTGTGTGAGCTGCCCGAGGTGTGGGCACTGGCAGGGGCAGGTGTGCGGCCTCAGACAGTGCCTTTTCCTCCCACTGCAGCTATGGGGGGGGGGGGGGGGCCTCTCCGGATCCTGCTCTGTGGTGAATTTCCAGGGAGGGTCTTCAAACGAGAAAACCAAAGACAGCATGTGTTAGAGCTAGCTGCTGTTCTAGGTTGTTTCTGCAGGACGTGGGTCTCAGAATCCCCTTTCTTGTATAAAATGATAACATCTCTGAAGTGTTGTTAAACTTAATATCAGGCAGTGACTCTGATGTTGGCGCCCATCTTGGAGAAGTGAGACTGGTCCCGAGACCCTGAGAGCCCACTCTGCTGGGAAGTCGTGGCCTATGGGGGTGGCATTCTCTGTGGCTCTTTTCTCCCTCCCGTGGCAGAGCAGTTTTGCCTTCCCCTTGCTCCTGGTCTCTTGGGATGGGATGCTTGGGCCTGGCAGGCCCAGAGACTGGTGGCAGAGGTGAAGGTCACTCCGTGCAGCTGTGTGTGTGTGTGTGTGTGTGCGCGCGTGTGTAGGGCGGCATGAGGGGAGCTGTGAGTGACCAGCAGGGAAGGAGGGAGGGGTAGTCTTGCAGGGGGTTGAGGGCTCTGCTGTGCCCCAGGTGTGGTCTGGTAGCTGGCAGGGTGTTTGCAGGACCTGGCCCCCAGCCCTTCTCACCGCGGGGAGGCTGTGTGCCCGATGGCAAAGGCAGGACTTAGGGGCCTGGGCAGGGAGTCTGGACAGCTGGGGAGTTCTTCCTGGAAAGGTTTTTGCTGGGCCGTGCTGATCTCTGATTCCATCCCCAAGAAGCCACCAAGGCCAGGCTTGCAGAGGCCAGAGTGTGGGCCAAGTCCGAGCAGGTGAGACCTGTGGAGTGAAGCTCACAGTTTGTTGGAGGTCCCAAAGCAGGAGGGACCTGGTCCAATTGGATCTCCTTAGGACAGAAAGAAGGGGGTACTTGCTGAGTGCCCTAAATACAGTCTGGCCAGAGGAAGGCTGGGTTAGTATCTAGATGGCCACAAGGCCTAGCCGAGTGAGAATGGGGACTCCTAGTAAACTGTGGGTAGGCACCTTCTGGATGGAATACAGCCAAGGCTTGTCAAGTGACCACACCCAGTGACCATACCAGGTGTACCGGGCAGGACTGCTATGGTGGGTTCTACATGGCCGTGCCCCAGCCAAGCTACCTGCCTATCTTAATAGATCCCAAACTTGGCAGGGCACTTGGCTTGTGTCCACATGATGGGGCTTTTACCGCAGCCCAGGATGGCTTTGGCATTGACAGCTGGGTTAGGGACCTGGGAATGAAGAGGGCCAGATGCTAGGCACTGAGGAGCTGGGGTGCTGGTCAGGACAGGCTGTGGCCCTGTGCAGCCTAAGGCCTAGGAGGCAGGGTCTGTCTTGAGGCACTTCCTGGAGAGCTCAAGGAGAAAGCAACCTTGCCTGGCCCAGCCTGGGGGCAGACAGGCCAGATGCTGTGGGGACCAGGGTCAGAGCCTGGAGCCTTGAGAAGTTGCAGAGAATAGCTCCTGAAGGAGGTGCCAGGCCCTGGAGGGCAGCCTCCTTCTCCCTTCTTAGCCCTCTCAAATAGGGTGTGACTCACTGTAGGACAGAGCAAGCCCCCCCCCCCCCACCCCCCGCCCCGGACTATTGTCTAGCAGGGCTCACTGTGGGCCTCACACAAGGCAGGGCCCTGGTCTCACCTGTATTCCCTGGGAGCCCAGCCAGCCCCACCCGGAGCCAGCCTCCATGGGCTTCCTCTTCCTCCTCAGGCTGGTGGAGCTGCCTGCTGTTTGCAGCCTGATCGCCCACCCAGGACTCCTCCACAGGGATGCCCTCCTGAAGACGGCTGCCAGACCCGCTGTTCGCTCAGTGCGTTGGCAGCTCAGAGCCTCACCCCTGGGCACCATGTCTGGGACCCCAGAATTCTAACCACACACCCTGCCCTGGTCTCTCTGTGGCTGCTGATCCCGCCCTTTTCCACACCTCCTCTTTAGTGCCCATGCACTGACCCTGGGGGACAGACAGAAGGAGGCAGGGACAGGGAAGGCCAGGCCATGGCTGCTCCCAGGCCCCACCCAGGCTCCTGAGGCTTGGAAGGAGAGGGGGCTCCTAGGACTCCCAGGGGCTCCCAGGAGCCTCTGCCCATTGCCCTGCCCTCCCTTCCCCTTTGGCAAGGTGCCAGGAAGCTGCAACTTTATTATCTAGGCAATTAGCTACAGACCCTGAACTAAGGCAGACAGGTCCTGCTGCTTCCCATAGGCTGTGCACCCTGACCCCAAGAGGGAGGGAAGGAGGCCCTGCCCTTGAGGAGCCAAGCTGCCAGGATTCCTGAGAGGTGGCTGCCGGTGCCCTCCCACGCTACCCTTTCTGCCAGGAGCCTGTGCCCTTAGGCTGCCTGGGCCTGGTCACGGAGTGGAGTCTCCTGACCCAGCCTTGCCAGAGGCAGAGGGCACCAAACCTTGAGGAGGGGATGCCCCCGAGAGTGCCTGTCCAGCCAGCTGCCCCACCCCTCAGGTCCAGCCCAGTCCCCTTGTTTCCCCGTCTGGTGCCCCGAGCAGTCCCCCTGGCCGGCAGCCCCCGCCATGGCCGAGCACCTGGAGCTGCTGGCAGAGATGCCCGTGGTGGGCAGGATGAGCACGCAGGAGCGGCTGAAGCATGCCCAGAAGCGCCGTGCCCAGCAGGTGAAGATGTGGGCCCAGGCTGAGAAGGAGGCCCAGGGCAGAAAGGGCCACAGAGAGCGGCTGCAGAAGGATGTGGCTGTCGGCAGGCCACAGAAGCGGGTCCTCTTCCCTCCTAGTGTCACCCTTCTTGAGGCTGCTGCTCGAAATGACCTGGAAGAAGGTGAGTGTGGCTGACCTTATGGTAGTGCACAGCCTGCAGCACTGTCCCTGTCCCGCTGGTGTAGTCCTCCTGAGATCTGCGAGGGGCACAGCTGCAGGTTACTGGGGCTTGGGGTCTGGCCCAGCTTTCTCAGCTGTGGGCTGCAGGTGATGGGCAGCAGGCAGGGTTCCGCTTCAGAGGCGAGGCCAAAGGAAGCAGACTCCTGGAGAAGTGTCCAGTCAGGGCTTGGCTCCAGCGGGCTAGGGGCGGCCCAGTCTTCCTGCCTTTTGCCAGGGTGCTGGGTGATGCTCAGGAGAGCCCTGGCCACCACCTGCTGAAAGTCCTGTGGGGAGCAGGGCTCCTAACCCTAGCAGGCCCCCTGGATGTCTTCCTCTCCGTCAGAACCTTCTGGCAGGCTCCTGTTCCTCCTGTGGCCCACGTGCTCACAGCCCCTCTGCTCTCCCAGAAGCTGCTGAGGGTTCTTCCTGCCTCCCTCCAGGGTAGGGGCCTCTACTGCAGAGCCTGGGGTACAGAAGGCCTGAGGCAGGGGAAGTGGATGGGGTGCGGTGGGTTTGTCACAGGGCACCGGCAACTGTGAGAAAGAGTGTGCATCCTTGTGCTGCCTACCAGGCACCATCAGGGAGGTCCAAACCACCAAAGAGGTCCTATGTGACCTTGTCGAGAGCCTGGGCTCAAGGTGGGGTTGCTAAAGAGGAGGGAGGGCTGGGACTAGTTCTGCTTATAGGGAGACCATGGAAGGGTAGGTCTGGGCACCTTGGGCCCACACTCCAGGCTCTAGCAGGGCCGGGAGCCCACAGTGGGGGCGGAGGGGGGGTGGAGGCTGCAGGTACCAGGGAAGGGCGTTTGTAGGGTTGGAGTGGTCTGCCAGTGGGTAAGGCTGGAGGGAGATGTGGGATGTGGGGGAGGTACTGGGGGAGGGTGCCAACACCCAGTCCAGGGTGGAATAGTCTAGAGCCCAGTGGGACTGTTCTCACACAGGATGGGGTACATTCTGAGAGTCTGAGGGTTGGAATGCCTGGATTGGGACTGGTGGGTCCTGCTGGGGGCTGGAGGCTGAGGACTGCTTTGTTTGGCCCACTTGGGACAGAGAGATCTCCTGCCACCTGTACCACCATCTTCCTCATCCTCCTCTGTTCCCCAGCTGTGGCACAGCAGTCAGCCCAGGTATCTTCAGGTGCAGGGCCTGACCAGGACAGTGCTGGCCTGTGCCAGGACCTCTGTTCTTGCACCCTGAGCACGCTTCCCTCTTCTTGCAGTCCGCCAGTTCCTTGAGAGTGGGGTCAGCCCTGACCTGGCCAATGAGGACGGTCTGACAGCCCTGCACCAGGTCAGCCGTGGCAGCGGGGTGGGGGTAGGTAGGGGTGGGGTGAGGGAGAGTGCTGGCTGGGCTCGTGCTCAGGCTGCATGGTTTGCAGAGCTGCATTGACGACTTCCGGGAGATGGTGCAGCAGCTGCTGGAGGCTGGGGCCACAGTCAATGCCCGAGACAGTGAGTGCTGGACACCCCTGCATGCTGCAGCCACCTGTGGCCACCTGCACCTGGTGGAGCTCCTCATTGCCCGGTAGGGCCTGCTGGGAGCAGGTGTGGCCACAGTGGGCATCTGTCTGGGCAGGGCAGGCAGTTTATCCCGAGACACAGCCCAGGCATCTCATCCACAGGAAGCAGACCCTTCTTCTGTTCCCACTTACCTTTGCTTACTGCCTGTGTCCTGGCATGGAGAGCCGGGTGTGGGCAGGGGCCACATGCACTCAGGAGTTTGGTTGTCTGCCAGCCCGCCCCTTGCCTGGGTGTGTCCTGCTAGGTGCCATTATAAATTTGGGAACTCCTTGAGGACAGGCCTTGATCTTCAGCACTGGCCTCCTAGGGTCTGTACAAAGAAAGACCATTCTGGTCAGTGATGAGGGTGGAATTGGCAAGGGGGGGGGGTATCTGGAAACAGGTGGGGCCTTTAACAGTGAGCAGGTGGATGGGACGATGGTCGGCTTCACCAGGATCCCGGATTCCCTCCCCGGTGCCAAGGCCCCTCAACTTTGGCCCCTCTGGTAGGATAGACAGTTACTTGCTCAGATTGTCTGTGGAGCGGTCTAGGAATTGATGGTGTGTGGGAGCAGGGGCATTCACCCCTGTGTTCTGGGCCCTTCTCAGCTCTCCCGTGAGCCCTGCTCCCTGCAGCTCTGTGGAGCTGTCTTGGTGCCTGGCTTTTCTCCCTGGGGCCCTGGCACCCTCCTGGCAGGTGGGCCTGCTATGCATGTCCATGGGAGTTGCTGGGTGCCAATAACCTGGAGTCACAGGTGGAGACTGCAGGACGTCTGCCTGGCTTGAGAACAGGATTCAAGACTGAGGGGCACCAGACAGGCCCAGGGTCAGCCTTCACAGCACCTGGGGCCTGGGCCTTCTCATTGTTGGCCCCCCAGTGTCCTGGAGGGCAGCCCTAGGCTGAGGGCTTCTGCAGAGGAAGGACCTCTGAGGGGACTGGGGGCCTCCCTTGGGGGGAGAAGATGAGAGGGTCCTGTGGCCAGCACCCCTGTCCCTCTTCCCTGTAGTGGTGCTGACCTCTTGGCTGTCAACACTGATGGTAACATGCCCTATGACCTGTGTGAGGATGAGCCAACACTGGACTGCCTTGAGACGGCCATGGCCAACCGTGGTGAGTGTGATTCCACCTGCTACCAGAGGTGGGGCCAGAGGTGCTGGCTCTGAGCCTGTGGCCTTGCAGGCATCACCCAGGATGGTATTGAGGGGGCCCGGGCCTTGCCGGAGCTGCGCATGCTGGAGGACATCCAGAGCCTGCTGCGGACCGGGGCTGACCTGGATACCCCTGGGGACCACGGGGCCACGCTGGTGAGGACATGGCCACAGGAGGAAGGGGAAGGAGGGTGCTGCTGCAGGGGCATGGGCCAGGACTCAGGGCTGGGTGGTTTGCCTGTAGCTACACATTGCCGCTGCCAACGGGTTCAGCGAGGCAGCTGCTCTGCTGCTGGAACACCGGGCCAACCTGAGCGCCAAAGACCTTGATGGCTGGGAGCCGCTGCATGCCGCAGCCTACTGGGGCCAGGTGAGAGTGGGCTGGAGCAGCTGGGGCAGCTGGGGTGCCAGTGGCCCTGCAGCTCTGGGGCCTTCAGCAGCCTGGGCTCGCTGGCCCACAGGTGCACCTGGTGGAGCTGCTCGTGGCACATGGCGCCGACCTCAATGGGAAGTCCCTGATGGAAGAGACGCCTCTTGGTGAGCTGGGGGCCACCTCTGCTTGGTGCAGGCGACCAGCAGGAGGGCGCCCCTGACCCTCTGCCCACTTCTCTTCAGACGTGTGTGGGGACGAGGAGGTGCGGGCCAAGCTGCTGGAGCTGAAGCACAAGCAGGATGCTCTCCTGCGCGCCCAAGGTCGTCAGCGCTCTCTGCTGCGCCGCCGCACCTCCAGTGCTGGCAGCCGGGGGTGAGCACCCACTCCACTGAGGTCCCAGCCCCTGCCCCTCTGGCAATGCCCAGGTCTTTGCCCCAGCTGACGTCAGCTGGCGGGCCGAGGTGCCAGCTAGAGCCTGGGCAGAGTCCACCAAGAAGGGAGCATCCTTCCCCCACCCTCACCCTGCCGTCCCCCAGGAAGGTGGTGAGGCGGGTGAGTCTGACCCAGCGCACCAGCCTGTACCGCAAGGAGCATGCCCAGGAGGCCATTGTGTGGCAACAGCCGCCTCCCACCAGCCCAGAGCCCCCTGAGGAGGATGAGGACAGCCAGACAGACACTGAGCTCAGGCCACCGCCCCCTGAGGTGAGCTCCTCCCTACCCTCACTGTGGGGCAGGCCTTGACCCAGGAACCAGTGGGAACAGTGACCCTGCATATGCCAGGCTGGTGCCTGCCCCTTGACTACCACGCAGCAGTGGGCCCAAGGCCAGGGGAAGCCAGACACGGCCCTCCTTAATGGCCTTTGGGGCCTGTGCTTCCCCCACAGGAGGAGGACTCTGAAGTGTCCAGGCCACACAACGGCCGAGTGGGGGGCACCCCAGGACGGCACCTGTACTCCAAGCGGCTGGACCGGAGTGTCTCCTACCAGCTGAGCCCCCTGGAGAACACAGCTCCCAGCACCCTGGGCCGGGCCAAGGCCCACCACACCCTGGCAGAGCTCAAGCGCCAGAGAGCAGCTGCCAAGTTGCAGCGTGGGCCTGAGGCTCCTGGGTCTGGTCTGCCTGCAGATGCTGACACTCCCCAGCCTGAGTGTGGCTCCAGGGCTGGTGGAGACCCGCCCCTGCTCAAGCTCACAGCTCCGTCAGAGGAGGCCCCCGTGGAGAAGAGGCCATGCTGCCTGCTCATGTGAGGGGCTGTGCTCAGGGTGCCAAGGGTCCTGCTGCCAGGCCTAGCCAGAGGCTGCTTTCAGGGCCTTTTGCTGAAGACCCTGACATGTAACTTGTGGGCCAGCAGCCAGCGCCAGACCACCCCAGCTTACCCCATCCAGGACTCCACCTCTTCACTCAGGAACGTACCTGTGGCAGAAGCCATACGTGGGGGGCACCTGGCTACAGAGACCTTGTTTCATTCTGTGACTCTTCATAAAGAGCCCTTCTGCCACCTGCCTTGTTGTGTCTCAGCTGGGCCACTGTCCCTGTGGTGGGGAGCTGCTGTGTTGCTGAGCTAGGGTGCGCCATCTCTAGCACCTGTGTGGGTCCTGTAGGTACATGCTAGGGTTTGCTGGTGGTGGCCCAGCCTGTGTGGGAGTGGGGCCCACAGCCACTGGGCAAGAAGCTTGGCCCTTGCTGAATCCTGCCTTCCCAGACTCCTGGAGGTTCCTCTGTAACTCTTTGCTTTCCTGAGGGAGAGGGAGCTTTGGAAGGATACTCCTTGGGAACCAGGGGTGCATGCCAGAGGAGCACAGACCCTGGTCTGGGAAGGGAGGGGCCAGAGGCAGAGGGGCAAAGATGTACAAGGTCAGTATCAGGAACTGGGGGAATGTTGGAGGTTTCTCCATTCCTGGCACGCAGCCCAGTCCTGGGGCCTAGCTGCCAGCTTCCCCTGGGCTGGCAAAGGGGACCAACCGTTGGCCACTCAGGCTCTGAGCTGGCTGGGCGTGATGTGTTGGGGTGAGGGGTGACAGGGGGCCCTTAGGGGCCTCGCGTGGAAGTGCTGAGGGCACTACCAGCTGTTTTGTCCATGGAGGGCAGTTTTGCATGGCATGGGCTCAGGTCACCTTCCCCTCCTCACTGGACACATACCTGGTCAGCCCAGTGTCCACAGGGCCAGCCCTTCCCTGAGCATTGTGGAGGAGTGCCCACCCTGGGGGAGGGCCAGGTTAGGCTGCTGGTTAAATTTAGTGTGAGGGCCGGTGCAGCTGCCCAAGTCCACCTGCCAGCGGCTGCCACTGGAGCCCGTTGCCAGGGGACGGGCGGGGCTGGCTCCGCCTGGGGCTGGGCCCATATTAACCTGCACTCTGGCCTGGGGGCCAGAGGGCCAGGCCTGCTCGCCAGAAGCTGAAGTGGCAGTGAAGTGGCAGCGCAACAGGAAGTTTCGAGGTGAGAGCGGGACCAGCGCCTGGGCTCCTGTGTGTCCTCTCCAACCAGCAGGAGCAGAGGAGCCCAGGCTCCCGTCTGGCCTGGCCAGCCACCGGCAGCCCAGCTTAGAGGGCAGGCTCCCTGACCCTCCGCTCAGCTCAGCGTCAGGTGCCATAGCTGGGGGTAGCCACCCTAAAGGCAGGCCTGTGGAGGTGGGGCCCGGAGGGCCTATCACTGCTCACCTCCCACTCTCTACCAATTAGCAGCAACCAGGAAGCAGAGCTGAGGTCATCCTGCCTGTGGTGTGGCCCCAAGGGCAGCCCCAGGCTGGCCTGGTGAAAGGGCACCCCAGCACAGAGCAGCAGGTATCCAAGGGCCCTCCCCCAACACCCAACCCAGCAATTTGGGTCTCACAGTGATGACAGAGAGCAAGGTCCCATCACAGGGCTCTTGCAGCCCCCTTCCATGGCCACCAGGAGGGGCCAGATGGAACCCCCTGTCTGAGCACTTGCCTTCCCTCTCCCAATACCCCAGGATTCCTGAGGCCCAGCTAAGTTACCTGGGAGATAGGCCTGCTGACCCAAGCAAAGATGGGGGGCCTGAAAGGGTTAGGCCTCCTCCAAACCCTACTGGGTAACCCCCATTCTCTCCTCGGGGTTTGCACCTGCCCAGCTCTGCCAACCTGCTTGGGGCACTCAGCCCCCTTCCTCTCCCCAGACCCAGTTCCTTAGAGGTTCCTGAACCGAACCGTCTGTCCCTACCCCCCATGTGGGTCTCCTGCTCCCCTGTCCTGGGGACATGGCAGGCACTGGGCTGAGCCCCAAGCTCCGCCTGCCTCCTCACCCACTCCCTGTGGCTCCCTGGGGCAGAGCTGTGCCCAGATGGGTGGGGCTGGGCCTGATGGCCCCAGCAGCCCAGCTCCACCTTCAGCCTTTTCTGTCCCTTTCAGTGGGGCCAGCAGGCTACAGTGAAGAGGGTGCCCTCTTTCCTTGAGCCCCCTACCCAGGCTTCCCCTTACCAGTAAGCCCTGGCCCACTGAGCCGGGGCTCCGCTTCCCTCACTCCCACTTCCGGATCCTGCCACTGCCTGAGCCTCCTTCCTGCCTGGTCTTAGCAGGGTCATGGCCTTGAGGGCAGGTGACCACAGCCAGGCTGCAATGAATGGGCTGAAGGAAAAGGTGCTGACACTGGACACCATGAACCCGTGTGTTAAGAGGGTGGAGTATGCAGTCCGTGGTCCCATTGTGCTACGTGCCCTGGAGCTGGAGCAGGAGCTGCGTCAGGTATGGTCCTGGACCCCACCACTGCCCTTCAGGCTGCGCCTGGGCAGTCCAGTGTCACATGGGACAAGAGCTGGTGGGAGTGATAAAGCCCACTCTCAATGTCCCTGCCTCCATCCTCCCAGGGTGTAAAGAAGCCCTTCACTGAGGTCATCCGTGCCAACATCGGGGATGCACATGCCATGGGGCAGAAGCCCATCACCTTCCTGCGCCAGGTGAGGCTTGCACTGCCCTGGCAACCCCTCCCCTGTCAGCCATGTGCCCTGACCTCAGCATTTGCTCCTCCCAGGTCCTGGCCCTTTGCGTCCACCCCGACCTCCTCAATAGCCCCGACTTCCCTGAAGATGCCAAGAGAAGGGCGGAAAGCATCTTGAAGTCCTGCGGGGGCCACAGCCTAGGTAAGCGCCAGTACCAGGTCCCAGGGAGCAGGAGCAACTGGAGGGAGGCTATCCCAGGGGAGGGGCGAGGTGGACTCACTGGGAGGGGAAGATCTTTTCGGGAGGGCTGCCAGGGGACAGTAAGGGTCTCTCTGCTGACCACCCTACCTCGTCCTGCCCCGCCCCCGGCACAGGGGCTTACAGTGTCAGCTCTGGCATCCAGCTGATCCGAGAGGATGTGGCGCGGTACATCCAGGGGCGCGACGGAGGCATACCCGCGGACCCCAACAACATCTTCCTGTCCACAGGGGCCAGTGACGCCATCGTGGTAGGCCCTGGCTGGACTGTGTGTGTGCGGCCGGCTGGCCAGGCTCCTGGCAGGGTGGCGCGGGGGTTGTGTGTGTAGGGGTACGGGTGCAGCCCGGCCAATGCCACCTTCCCATCACTCCCATCCCTCCCATAGACAGTGCTGAAGTTACTGGTGGCCGGCGAGGGTCGTACGCGCACAGGCGTGCTCATCCCCATCCCCCAGTACCCACTCTATTCGGCCGCGTTGGCGGAGCTCAACGTGGTGCAGGTGGACTACTATCTGGACGAGGAGCGCACCTGGGCGCTGGACGTGGCGGAGCTGCGGCGGGCGCTGCTCAAGGCGCGTGAACACTGCTGTCCTCGCGCGCTCTGCATTATCAACCCCGGCAACCCCACCGGTGCGCCGCCAGCCCCGGCCCCGCCCCGCCCCGCCCCGCCCCGCTGCGCTTCCCCGCTCCACCACCTGGCTGACAGCAGTGCACGCTCTCGGCTGACCCTGGATTTGCCGTGTCCCCACACCCAGGGCAGGTGCAGACCCGCGAGTGCATCGAGGCCGTGATCCGCTTCGCCTTCGAGGAGCGGCTCTTCCTGATGGCTGATGAGGTGATCGCAGGGGCACGTGGGGGTGGGGGGCGAAGGGCATCAGCGGGCTCCCCCAGTGACGCCCGTCGCTTGTCCAGGTGTACCAGGACAACGTGTACGCCGAAGGCTCCCAGTTCCACTCGTTCAAGAAGGTGCTCATGGAGATGGGGCCCCCGTACGCGGTGCAGCAGGAGCTGGCCTCCTTCCACTCGGTCTCCAAGGGCTACATGGGCGAGTGCGTGCGGGCCAGAAGGGCGGGGATTCTCTGACCCTGGTCAGCCTCCTCTGTCGGCTCTGCCTTGACACTGGCCTTTGCCCCTAAGGTGCGGGTTCCGTGGTGGCTACGTGGAGGTGGTGAACTTGGATGCCGCGGTGCAGCAGCAGATGCAGAAACTGATGAGCGTGCGGCTGTGCCCGCCCCTGCCGGGCCAAGTCCTGCTCCACACGGTGGTTAGTCCGCCTGCGCCCTCGGACCCCTCCTTTACGCAGTTCCAAGCGGTGAGTCGGAGGAGACTGGGAGGAGGTGGGGAGGGGCGGCTGAGGCGGTGAGCGGGCTGGGTTGGGGGGCGCCCGGGCCCCCTCCTGATGGACCCTCCGTCCACAGGAGAGGCGGGCGGTGCTGGCCGAGCTGGCGGCCAAGGCCAAGCTCACAGAGCAGGTCTTCAACGAGGCTCCTGGCATCCACTGCAACCCGGTGCAGGGCGCCATGTACTCCTTCCCGCGCATAGAGTTGCCCCCGCGCGCGGTACAGCGCGCTCAGGTGCGGTGCCCAGCGGGCAGGCCTGCTCCACAGGGAGGGCGGGGGCTGGGACATCTGGCTCTGACCGTTCGGACTGCCCCGCTCTCTCCCTCCAGGAGCTGGGCGTGGCTCCTGACATGTTCTTCTGCTTGAGCTTGCTGGAGGAGACCGGTATCTGCGTGGTGCCGGGCAGCGGCTTCGGGCAGCGGGAAGGCACCTACCACTTCCGGTGAGGCCCTGCCGCGCCGCCCCTCCCCTCCCTGCGGCCCCCAGGTCCCTTGCCCTTCGCTTACCTTCCTCGTTTTAGGATGACCATCCTGCCCGCCGTGGAGAAGCTGCGTCCCCTTTTGGAAAAGCTGAGCCAGTTCCACGCCAAGTTCACCCGCGAATACTCTTGAGTGCTGCTGGGGACCAGGCCCTGTGGGCTGGACTGACAGCGCCCTGGTTTCTGGAGGGTGGAGGGGTCTCGTCTCGATGCCTGTGGGGCTGGGCCCCTGCCTCTCTTCAGGCCTCTAATAAAGCTGTGAGAGCCTGGCCGCTTGGCTGAGGTGTGCACACCTGTGTGCGACTCCCTAGTTTCCTGGTTGCCTTCAGGAGAGGTCTAGGAGGGCTTCCAGAGAAGGTGATTTTCCCGCTCCGCTCCTCCGGTGGGCTGGTTCTCTACCGTGGGGGCGCAAAGAGGAAGCCTTGTTTTTCTCTTAACTGCCGCCTGGGGCTGCTGGTGGCGCAGAGGAACAAATGGGTCTGTCTCAGCCTGTGTTGTGTTTGAAGTGTGTGGTGAGTGTGTGTGACATCTTCCCACTGGACCTCAGTCAGGGCCGAGGATGACTCTGCAACCCAGGTACGTGCCCTTGACTGAAATTGAACCCGTGACCCTTTGGTTTACAGGCTGACACTCTAACTGCTGAGCCAGACACGCCAGGGCTAGTCTCTATTTTTTTTAATTTTTCCTTTATTGCTTTTTTTAGAGAGAGAGAACATCAATTGACCACCTCCTGCATGCCCCCCACTGGGGATCAGGTGCACAACCTGGGCATGTGTCCTGTCAGGGAATCGAACCGGCGACCTCTTGGTGCATGGGTCGACGCTCAACCACTGAGTCACACTGGCCGCACTAGTCCCTATTTTAAAGATGAGGAAATGTAGCCCAGCTGGTGTGGCTCAGTGGATTGAGCATCAGTCCCATGGACTGAGAGACTGGGTTTGATTTCCAGTCAGGGCACAATCCCCAGTAGGGGGTGTGCAGGAGGTAGCCGAACTGTTTCTCACATCGATGTTTCCCTCTCTCTTTCCCTTCCTCTCTCTCTAAAAAATAAAAATATTTAAAAAGAAATATGTAGAAATGACAAGAAACCCACTCACAGTGACCCCAGCAGCTGAGGGAGTACATTGACTCAAGTGCTTGCAAGTGAGTCAGCTTCAGGGATCCATGGGCTCAGAGACGGGAGGCAGTTCTTATCTACGGGCCATCCTTCACTACCCCCTCTGGTCTTCAGGAGCCCCACGGGGGTGCAGCTCTGGGCAGGAGAGGCCACAGGGGACCCCCACATTCAGCTTATCCTTGGATAGGCCTCTCTTGGCAGGGCCAGCCAGAGTAGGCTGGGTTTCGTGGCTGCTGAAACCACAAACAGCCAGGGCCAGAAGTGTCTACCTTGTGCTAGACAGTGGACCTTTAAGAGACGCTGCGGTCATTGGTGAGATACTGGAGAGCTCGGGTCTAGGTCCAAGTGGCCTGGGGAGGATCTGATTATCCTGAAAAAGACCAGAATGGGTCGCGTCGCCACTTTGTACTCTGGACCGGGGCCCGCGTCGGCGGCCAACACGCAGTACCCAGATTGGCCACTGGGGACACCTAAGTACAGCGGACGCTCTGGCCCGCGCCAGCGCTCTATGGCCTGCGTCTCTCGGCCGCGCTGCCGGGATCAGAGTATGGCCTGCGTCTCTGCGGGTTACAGGCGCTAGCTAGTCCGACCCTAACTCCGTTTGGACCAGTCCAAAGGCCATGCCCCTTGATCCGACCAGACCACAGGCGGAACCGCATTGCTCCATTCCACTCCAGGCCTGGCCTTGAACTCGGCCGCAGCCCCGGGTCCGCTCTGGCCATGCGTGGGAAGCTGCTGCTGCTGGCCGGCCTCTACCTGGTGCAGGGCCTGCCCTATGGGCTGCAGTCTGGCCTGCTGCCCATGCTGCTGCGAGCGGGCGGCCTCTCCCTGACACGTGTGGGACTGGCCAAATTGCTGTACGCGCCCTGGCTGTTCAAGCTAGTATGGGCACCACTGGTGGACACACGGGGCTCCCCCAGGGCCTGGCTGACGCTCAGCACGGCTGCTCTGGGCTTAGTGTGCGGGCTGCTGGCAGCCCTGCCTCCTGCTGAAGCTGGCCAGGCTGAGCTGCCGGTTACCGTGGCAGTGCTACTTCTGTTGCTGAACCTTGGTGCAGCTGTGCAGGACGTGGCCCTTGACACGCTGGCTGTGCAGCTCCTGGAACCAGCAGAGCTGGGCCCTGGCAATACCGTGCAGGTGGTCGCTTACAAGCTGGGGTCGGCGCTGGCGGGTGGTGGGCTGCTGGCCCTTCTGCCCACCTTCTCCTGGCCCCATCTATTTCTGCTCCTGGCTGCCATCTACTGGCTGGCTGCTGCCCTGGCTTGGGTTGCACCTGCCCTGCAACAACTGCCCTCGCCGCAGCAGAAAGGACCCCCTACGAACTACCTGAACCTCCTGGACTTGCTGGCTGTGTCTGGGACCCTGTGGACCACAGGCTTTGCAGTCACTTACAAGCTGGGTGAGTGAGGGCTTGAGTCAGGCAAACAGCAGGGGTGGGGACCTGAGGGAACTCCAAGTAGGGCCACCCTCCATTTGGGGTATACCCTGTGGGCTGGAGCCTAGCCCAGCAGCTGGGCCTTACATTTTGTCCTCCAGCTCCAGCCACAACCCCTTGGTCATGCTGACCCTGAGCTTGGCCGATGCATCTCCTGTCTCAGCATCAGAGGCAGGGTAGCAGTCTGGCTGGAGAGTAAGACCCCAGGTGGAAAAGGGAGGTAGGTACACACCTACTCATGTTCTCTCCACAGGTGAACAGGGCGCCAGCAGCCTGTTTCCACTCCTCTTGTTGGACCAAGGCCTCTCTGCCCCAGAGCTGGGGCTGTGGAACAGTGTTGGTGCGGTGGCCTGCTCCATTGCTGGCTCGTCCATGGGTGGGGCCCTGCTGTCGGGGCATCGGTGAGCCTTCCTCAGCCTGTCCCCCTTACTTGCTCACCCCTCTACCTGCCCCATGCCCCTGACCCGCCCAGTCTCCCCAACCCAGGAAACTGCTGCCCTTGCTGAAGTCAGTGCTTTGGTTCCGTCTTGGGGGCCTGGTGTGCCAGACCACCTTGCTCTTCTACCTGGACACCTCATTGGCCAGGCTTGGCCCTGGCACAGTCCTGAGAGGTGAGGGGCTGGGCACTGGGGGAGGAACACAGTGCATCCTGGGCCCTGCTGACCTCAGTTCTCTCAGGGGCAGCCTTGTTGAGCCTGTGTCTGCAACACTTCTTGGGGGGCCTGGTCACAACTGCCACCTTCACCCTGATGATGCGCTGCAGCCAGCTGGCACCCAGTGCCCTCCAGGTGAGGGGGCATGGCCAGGACACCGAGGGGATGCAGAACTGGGGTCCAAGCAAGTCCTAATCTACCCCCCACCCCTTCCCCAGGCCACACACTACAGCCTCCTGGCTACAATGGAGCTGCTGGGGAAGCTGCTGCTAGGCACACTGGCTGGAGCCCTGGCTGACAGCCTAGGGCTGCATCTCTGTTTCTCACTCTTCCTTGCTCTCTCAGCCATGCCCATCCTATATCTGGGTCTGGCACCCAGAACCCTGGCCTGAGCTAGGTGGCAAGACTGGTCAATAAAGCCAAGTGTGACTGGCCTGCTTGTCTATTTGGGATGTATGGTGTCCAAGGCTGTCCTGAGACCGTGGCACCATGCCATTAGAAAGGAGGGTTCCTAAGAACAACTTAAGCATCTTTTATTCTGTACTTTGGGGCTTCCTTGTGCCCACATTCCTGGCAGTGGGCTTTGCCCAAGGTGGTCAGTCACTGTCCAGACCACTGACGTTTCTTTGTCTTGGTCTTACACCTGCCACTGTCCACGCTGTGATACACACGTTCACACCCACGTCTGGCATGGGGAACAGGGCCTGCCTGATGCAAGGTGGTCAGCGGCGGCCCCACAGCAGGATCTCCTCTGTGGCTAGGTTTATTAGGGCATGAAAGCTCAGGTGAAGGTACTTCCTCCAGAATCGCCGATCTCGACCATACACCTGGGCTGGAAAGCAGGGGCTTCCTGTGGTGGGAGGGGAGACATGGCCCTGAGGACTATCACCTGGGTCCAGCCCCTGCCCGTGCTTGCGTTAGGGCTGAGCCTTGCAAGCCCTCACCGATGCCATGGAAGATGCGGGCCACAGCCCTGCCTGAGAACTGCTGCTCTGGCCACGAGGACAGCAAGTGGTGGATGTCTCTGCGGATCTGGTCCTCCCAGTCCTGCAGCTGGGGGTTGGGGCATGACAGGCCAACCTAAGCATCCAGGTTACCGTGCTTCACAGGGCCCCCGTACAGGGCAGGAGACGGGTGTGCACATGTGGGTGCTTGCCTAACCTTGCCCCAGGCCGGGAGGAGCCAGCACTCACCTTGGCCTGCCCTGGCTCTGGGCCCTGTGCTTCCTCTTTGCCCCCTGGTCCCTCTTCCTCAAAGTAGTGGCTGAGCAGGGCTTTGAGCCTGGTGCTGCGCTCCTCGTCTGGCTTCTCCAGGCATGGCCCGCAGCTGGGGAAGGCTATGCTGGGGTGGGATGAGCTCATCAGAACCACCCTCTGGGGTGGGAGTTGGGGGGCCACACTCTTCCCACCCTCTCCCACACCTGTGAAAGGCCTGGAACACAAGGTGCAGGCAGGCCAGGGCCTCCCGCTCTCTGGCCTGCACGCGGTCATATAGGAAGTCACAGATCTGGTCCTTCTCCTGGGCTGTCAGGTCCCCTGGGCTATGCAGGTGGAAGGCCAGCTCGCTGAACTCCACCAGCACACCTGTACCCCGAGGCACACCTGCCAGAGAATGTGTCAGATGGGCAGGTTGGCAGGCAGATGCCATACAGGGTCAGGGGTGGGACGCACCTGTCCTGGGCTCTGGGTCCCACTGTAGTTGGCGGAGGGCCTTCTGTACAGGAGCCAGCTCCCAGCCCATTGAATCCACCAGCTTGACCATGTCCAACTCCACAGAGCTGCTTTCCCCGCAAGTGTTCTCAGGCAGCTGCTGGGCGATGCACGCAGCCAGGGGGGGACACCTGCCAGGGGAAGAAATCAGTGATTGGCCGCCCTGGTCTTCCATCCCTGGCACAACTGTGGGGTAGGATGTATGTTCACCTGTGGGCCAGGGCCTGGAGCTGGGTAGGGCCTCCAGGGCATCGCAGGCGGCAGTGAGTGTAGGTGGGTGCCAGCAGCTCCAGCCAGCGTTGTGGGTGCAGCTCCAGGTAGCACAGCAGGGTCTCAATGACTGGGGGAAGAGCTGGGCTCAGAGAACATGAGACTGTGGAGTGCCCCCGAACATTTGTCCCAGTTCCTCACCCTCCTCAGGCATGTCCAGAGCCTGCACTGTGGGCTGCACTGGGAGTGTCCGCTCGTGGCCTGGGCACCGGGCTGTGTGCTCATGGCTGGGTTGCTCAGATGACCAGCTCTCCTGTCTCTCACTTCCCTCCTGCTCTGACAGCCGCTGGGCACAGGTGCATGGTGGGAATGCACGATGCACCAGCTTCTTTACCGCAAGGAAGTCAGTGGCATTGGCATGTATGTGTCTGCGCAGCTCCCGAAGGTCCTCACCCTGCAGCAGGACAGCTGTGAATGTGCAGCCATGGCACTGGGTGGGGTGAGGGGAGCTCAAGCTGGTGGGCACCAACCTGGGGCTGCAGAAAGAGGTGGCAGTGTGCAGGCTGCCCATCACGGCCGGCCCGGCCCACGGCTTGCACATAGCTCTCAAAGCTTGGGGGCAGCCCCAGGTGCAGAACAGCCCGCACATCTGGCCGGTCCAGGCCCATCCCAAAGGCTACTGTGGCCACCACCACCCGCAGCCGACCCTCCATGAAGGCCCGCTGCACACGCCGCCGCTCCCGGCTGCACATGCCGGCATGGTAGGCTTCAGCCATGGCCTCTGGGTCTCTGCCTGCAAAGAAGACACAGATGGTGGTGTGGTGCATGCCTGGGCAGGTCTGTGGGGCACAGCCCTGCCCCAGCCTCACCTCTGGGCCCTGCGGCCCCAGCTGTAGGCAGGCAGGTGCGGAGCAGAGCAGAGATACGCTCAGTGTCCTGCCGTCTGTTACAGTAGACAATGATGGAGTCCAGGGTGCGGAAACGGTCACCCTGAAGCAGTGTCACTAGAGCCTAGTGAGAGACAGCAGTCAGTGTGGGCAGTCGGGAGGTGAAGCCTCTACCAGGTGTGTGCACACCTACCTGGTCTGGGTCCCTGTCCATGGACACAGAGAGATGTAAGTTGGTGGGGATGGTAACTGGACCCCTGAGGATAGCCTCCTTGGCTACGCCCAGGTGCTTGGCCATGTCGAGGGCGGTGATGCACGTGGCTGTGGCTGTGAGACCCAGGAAGCAGCGCACTCCCAGGTGTTCCCGCAGCACCTGTGCAGGAGTAGGGCAGTGAAGATGCCCACCCTCCCCTTTCTCATCTCACCTGTTTCATGACAAGGCTTACCTTGCAGACACGTAGGTAGCAGGGTCGGAAGTTGTGGGACCACTGAGAGAGGCAATGGGCTTCGTCAACACAGACAAAGGCCACTGGGGGTAGCTGAGCGAGGCAGGCAGGGCCCCCAGCCCCAGCTCCAACCAGTGCCTCAGGTGACAGCATCAGCACATGCACCTGGGCTGCCCGCGCCTGTGGAAACCAAGGTCAGGACCACTGCCCAGGCCCTGCCTGCCATTCCCAAGTGTCTTGCCCTGTGAGGCCCCTCACCCTCTGGAGGGCAGAGTCCCGCTGCTTCCTGGTCATGCCTGAGTGCACACAGGCTGCCTTCAGGCCGGGGGGCAGGCCAGACACCTGCAAATACAGGAGCACAGCCTGTTGAAGGCCATCCAGCCCTGGCCCTTCCCCAAATGTCTCTCCCAATCACTCAGCCTGACAGATATTGCTACATCCACTCCACGTCTTCCGTAGAGAAAACACCGACACTGGGTCCTAGGCCTAAGAGTTCAGAGCTGCCTGTGGACCTGGGCTCAGGAGCACTGGGAACAGACAGGCCCCACTGAGGATATCTCCCTTCCCCACCGCTCCTTTTAGGGGAGGACCTGGCCAGCTATGTCCCTGCTATGCTTAGGCCACTGCCAGACTGAGGCTGTGGACAGAGCTGGTGGACCAGGAGCTGGGACCCTTGCAGCTCTGGGGTGGGAGTGGGGTAAGCAGCAGCAGCCCAAGGGGACAGAGAAGCCGTGGGTGCTGGTGCCTGCCTTCCGCCCACACCTGAGGGTCCTGTCCACACACCTGGTCGTCCATGAGGGACAGGAGAGGGGAAATAACCAGTGTGAGACAGGGGCTTCGCCGGGCATAGAGCATCGCAGGGAGTTGGTAACACAGGGATTTACCAGCACCAGTGGGCAGCACCAGCAGCGTGGACATGCCTGGGTAGGAACAACGTTAGCAGTGCTGCTCTGTGGCCTGGCGAAGCCCCACCTTGATACCCCCAGCAGCCACGCTCACCAGACAGAATTCGCATGACTACATGTTCCTGCCCAGGGCGGAAGGCTTGGTGTCCCAGCTGCTCCAGGGCCTGAAACACCTCAGCTGGTGTCTCTGTGGGCATAGGTGTTGGTCAGCATGGCCTAGATTTGCCCCCACCCCTCAGCAAAGGCTCTAGATTGGTAGGAATCTGCTCACCTGCCACCTGCCCCAATGGACCTGGCACATAGAGTGGTGGCACAGTTGGGGGCGGGCAGGATGCCCCAGGCACAGGTGCCTCCATGGGCGCCAGCAACTCAGGCCCAGCAGGCTCTGTATGTTTCTCATCTGCTGGGGTGGACAAGAGAGGGTGGTGTGGGAACTCTAGGCTGGGCTGGCATCATTCTAGCAAGAAGGCTGCTGACTATCTCTCCTCTCCCCGGGGAGCTGGCAGTAGTGTCCGTCCTCTGAACTATTTCTTTCAATGTGAATAGCATTTGCATATCATCTTCATTTCTGTCACATTCCTTCTTGGGGTCCAGGATAGATTTTGGGCCTACGGAGGGTCTTTTGCTTAAGCCAAACTACCCCCACCCCAAAAAGCACAACACCCTCTCCAAGCAATCTTGGCCTAGTACACCATCCAAAACAGAGGCCTCACCTGGTTTGGGACACTGGGATGCCCAGTGGCCGAGCTGCCCACACTGGAAGCAAAAATCCTTGGCTGTGGTTCTGGGCTGACGACCCTCCAAAGACTCCACTTTCTTCTTCCACTTCTGCTTCCATGCCTGGGGTGAGGCAGAAAAGAGGGTCACAAGGCGAGAGGCAGGAGGGGTGAGGAGGGCGCCTTCCACCATCTCACCTGCTTTCGGAGGAGTCTGCCACGCAGGGCTGGGCCCCGAACATAGCGTTTCTGTTTCATGTTGAGGCGAACATAATTACCCCTGTCCTGAACAGCTGGCCTAAAAGGAACACACAGGTGAGCTTTGGCCAAAGTCCTCCCCACCCTGGCCCAACTCAAGGCGACCCTGCTGGGAGGCTGAATTTTAGTACCTGGGGGCTGAGAGGCTGCTGAGTGGCTGTGCATGCATGGGCTCCCCTGGACAGTCTTCTGTGCGCACTATAGCCCTAGCTTCCTCAGGCGGGGGGCCTGCTTGGCCGCTATGGTGCTGGGTCTGTGCAGGGGTTCCCTCTGGCTCTCTACTCTGTTTCCACTTCTTGCCTTGACCACTGCCTGGTAGGGAGCTCACTGCACTGACTCCAGCTGCCTGTAGAGGTGGTGTCTCAGGGCCTGTGCTGGGGCCAAGAACACATGAAACATGTGAAGTCACAGGCTGTGGTTCCTCTGTACCCAGGACAGGCTGGCAATCTTCAGAAGTCTTTGGAAAATCTAGGGTCCCACTGTGACACCGCTGCAGCCAGCCAGGGTCTAGGGAGCCCAGCCGCAGGCTCAGGGACTCCTGCAGCTGCTGGAACCGGCCTGGTTTCAGCTGGGGCCTGGGAAGCTGGGGGGGCATCTCACTGACTTCTTCAGGAGACATGGAGGCAGCCTCTGCAGCTGGTAGCCCCAGGGAAGGCACCTTGGGTGAGGATCTTCGTGGAAGCTGGGGTATTCGGCCCAGGGCTGGCCCAGCCTGGGAGGGGAAGGACAAACAAGCAAGCAGGAACTCAGGCCCCGGGCTGCCACAGACTATGGAACCTGTCAGAGTTCCCCCTAACCCCAACCTCAATGAGGCTAGCATAGAAAGGAAGCTGAGAGCAGAAACTGGCCCTGACCTCCTGTCTGAAGTTGTAGCCTGGTTAATCCTGGAGACAAGGGGATGTTCTAGTGCAAGTGTGCGTGCGTGCGTGCACAGATGTCTGGTGATCCTGTCCCTGGGCTGAGGGCAGTTCTGGACCCAGGATGGACCTCCTACTTTGCCCTTCTTACCTGCAGAGTGCCTTTTAGGTTTGCCTTAAGCCTCTTCCCATAGTCCTGCACAGATCTCCGAGGTCTCGGCCCTGGAGCAGGATGCGGACTCTGGGTTACAGCCCGATTCAGGTGGGACCCCCAGCAGTTAAGCTCCGGTATCTGCGGGAAGAGAAAGTGGGGAAGCAAGGGTTGGTGTGGGGACAGAGGGGTCTCCAGCCCACTTCCCAGCCACTCAGAGACATGGAGGGAGATCGGGCCCTCCACCCTGTCCAGCCTTCCCCCCAAATCCTGTGCCCCACGGACGCCTGGCCACGACTCCTTGACTCCGCCGCACAGTAAGATAAACCAGGAGATTAGGATGTCCCGGCTCAGGTACCTCCTCTGCTGCCTCCGGAAGTGACTGCACAGGGACGCGGGGCCCGACGCCGCTGGCCTGACCCAGGGCCTCCTTCAGGGCGCGGTACTCCCGGTAGAGCGCTGGGAGCGGGGTCAGGGTTCGGGGTTCGGTGGGTCTCGCTCGGCTCCCTCATCCCCAGTCCCTCCGACCGCTCCCCCACTATCCCCTCCGCCCATGCCCGCGCGCTCACCGCGGGTCTCCTCGGGCGCCGCTTCCACGTCCTCCTGTGAAGGGAGAACGTCAGCCGGGCGCCGCACCCACAGCTCCCCGCCCCCGGGCAGCCCGTACCTGGCCCGGCCGTCGCCCGCGCTGCTGCCTGAACGCGCGTTCCCAGGCCTGTAGTTGTGTCCGCACGTCCCGCAGCCGCTCCATGTTGCTCCACCGGCTCCACGCCGGGCGCCCTGTGTATCTCCCGCCGCGAAGGCGACGCCGACTGGCAGCCAATGGTGGCTCTTGGCGCGTTCAGAGGCGGGGCTTCGGGGCGGGACAGCCAATTTCCGGGGCTCTGGAGGGGCGGCCAATGGGGGGCGATAACGTCATCGCGGCGCGCGGCGGCGCTGGGCGGGGCGGGGCGCGGCGCACAGCGAGGCGGGGCTGTCGGTGGTGGAGGCGGCTGCTGGGCCGGTGAGCGCAGGCCGCCTGCTGGGTACGGAGCGGGACGGCGTGCACTCCCGGCCCTGCTAGGCCGCACGAAACGGGCGCGGGAGCCGGGCGGTGTAGCTGTGGGACGGGGAAGGACCCAGATCCCTGCGCCGGGCTGAGCCGTCTCGGGTCTCTGGGGCGACGCACCGGGAGGAGTAGGGCGTCGGATTGAACGCCTTCCCCAAGGCCGGGAGGAGCCGTGCGGGGGCGTCTTCGGGAAACGCAGGGACCGCAGGCCGCCTGGAGCGGGTGGCGGCCTCCGCACAGAGGCTCCTCCCCTGGTGACCACACTGGCTGCTTTCGTTTCCTCTCGTGACAGGTGCTCGGTTGGTCTGTCCTGTTACAGCGAGGTATGAATCGTCCTCGCGAGATTTGTCCACAGGCAGAACGAGGCCGAGGCTTCGCGTCGGGCTTTCTCAGGAACCACTGTACTAAGGGCTTATGTTGTGTGTGTGGTCTGGGGCTAGACTTCCGCCTTCCTTAGCTCATCCCCTAGGCTGCAGTTTGGGGGGGTGAGGTGCTCTGATTCAGCAGCAGAACTGACACTCAAGTTCCTGTGGCCTCAGGCATCTTCTTTGCGCCTCCTGTCAGCTTGAATGCTCCTTTGGCAGCGGACTCTATGGGTTTGAGACTTAGTTTCTTAACATAGTTCTTCAGGGAGGAGGGAGATGTTTAGACAGGTGACAAGGCCCGCAGTGAGTGAGGGTTGCTTTCTAGGGGTTTCCATGCCTAGCAACACTTCTGGACATAGAAGTTAGGATTGGGGTTCCTGTTGAGGGCTTTGGTTACTCAGGCCACCTGGATTCTGTTTCCTGGGTCCTGGTCCTCTATTGCCTTAATGTTTATTGAGGTGCATCTGTGTTTCCAGTTCTTTTTTGCTGTGTTGCACAGGATTCAGGGGAAGCCTGCAAGAGCCTCTGAGGAGGGTGAGGGAGGGAACAAACTGTGATGCAGCTTCCAGCCCCTCTCCCCAGGATCCCACCCCTCTAGTGTTTGTGAAGGGGGAGGGGCCAGAACTTTATTTTACTTTTGAGGGAAGGAGAATGTCTAATAAGTGGCTTTGTGAATTTGGAGGCCTGAAGTATTGATGGGGGATGGGGAGGCTGCAAGCAACAGCTGTAAAAAGCACACCCGGGTGGGCCGTTCTTTTCTGGGACCATGCTATTGTGTGCTGCTTGTTGGCTTTGTTTCCCTAAAGAGGTCCCCATACTCTGGAAGGTGGGAACTAGGAGGTGGCCTTGTCCTTCGTACTCTGTTTAGCCCATTGTTAAGCACCTAGCACTTATTCTTTAGGGCTGTGGTCCCACTGAGCACTGGCTCTGGCAGTCACTGTGCTGGGCTTTCCCACTATCAGTGTGCGGAGGAGGCTGTGGCAGGTGGTGGTCTGTCCTCCCCACTGAAGGTCCCTTCCCTGCAGGTGGTCTTCTGCCTGGCCCAGCGCCATGCACACACTTGTGTTCTTGAGCACGAGGCAGGTGCTCCAGTGCCAGCCTGCCGCCTGCCAAGCCCTGCCCCTGCTGCCACGCGAGCTCTTCCCCCTGCTGTTCAAGGTGGCCTTCATGGACAAGAAGACTGTTGTGTTACGCGAGCTGGTGCACACGTGGCCCTTCCCCCTGCTCAGCTTCCAGCAACTGCTGCAGGAGTGCGCCCACTGCAGTCGGGCCCTGCTGCAGGAGCGGCCCAGCACAGAGAGCATGCAGGCTGTGATCCTGGGGCTCACAGCCCGGCTCCACACCCCAGAGGCTGAGGCCGGGACACAGCCCTACTGCAGGTATGGGCTCACCTGAGGGGTCCTCAGGCTTGGGAGGTGCAAAGAGGGTCCCCAGAGAGGTTTTAGTCTGATGTAAGGGCTCAGTGCAGGAATAGGCTTGTTGTTTCTGTCCCAAAGTGGCTGGGAGTGGGTGTGGGCTCTGTTCCTTGTCACCTGCTTCAGCTCACCCATGCTCCCAGGAAGCATGCACTGCGGGTGCTGGACATGACGGGCCTCCTGGACGACGGTGTGGAGCAGGACCCTGGCACCATGAGCATGTGGGACTGCACAGCAGCTGTGGCCCGTACGTGCATTGCACAGCAACAAGGTGTGACTGTGGAGCACGGGCTGGCCCCTGTTCCTGTGGAGGTGCGAGTGGACCTTCGGGTGAACCGGGCCTCTTATGCATTCCTTCGAGAGGCCCTCCGTAGCAGTGCAGGCAGCCCACTGCGGCTCTGCTGCCGGGATCTGCGGGCAGAGGACCTGCCCATGCGAAACACTGTGGCCCTGCTGCAGCTTCTGGATGCAGGCTGCCTGCGCCGCGTGGACCTGCGCTTCAACAACTTGGGCCTGCGTGGTTTGTCTGTCATCATCCCACATGTGGCCCGCTTTCAGCACTTGGCTAGCCTTCGGCTGCACTATGTGCATGGGGACTCGAGACAGCCTTCCGTGGATGGTGAGGACAATTTCCGCTACTTCCTGGCCCAGATGGGCCGTTTCACCTGTCTGCGGGAGCTCAGCATGGGCTCCTCTCTCCTCTCAGGGCGGCTGGACCAGCTGCTCAGGTGAGCGGGCCCCACTACTGTCTTGCCTCGACCCTCCCCTAGCCCTGCCTGTTCATGACCCCTTGTTTTCCCTGTAGTACCCTGCAGAGCCCCCTGGAGAGCCTGGAGCTGGCCTTCTGTGCTCTGCTGCCTGAGGATCTGCGCTTCCTGGCACAGAGCCCCCATGCTGTCCACCTCAAGAAGTTGGACTTGAGTGGCAACGACCTGTCTGGCAGCCAGCTGGAGCCTTTTCAGGGTTTGCTGCAGGCGGCAGCAGCCACACTGCTGCACCTCGAGCTGACCGAATGCCAACTTGCTGATACTCAGCTGCTGGCCACACTGCCTGTGCTGACCCGCTGTGCGAGCCTCCGCTACCTCGGCCTCTATGGCAACCCGCTGTCCATGGCGGGCCTCAAAGAGCTCCTGCGGGACTCAGCGGTGCAGGCTGAGCTGCGCACGGTGGTGCACCCCTTCCCTGTAGACTGCTACGAGGGCCTTCCCTGGCCACCACCTGCCTCTGTTCTGCTGGAGGCCTCCATCAATGAAGAGAAATTTGCCCGTGTGGAGGCTGAGTTACACCAGCTACTGCTGGCCTCGGGCCGTGCCCACGTGGTCTGGACCACGGACATCTACGGGCGCTTGGCTGCAGACTACTTCAGTTTGTGACCTCTGGGTTCTGGATGAGAAACAGGCTGTCCTGGAGTCCAGGGCTGCTGGAGGCCCCTCCCCCTCCTCGGTAGGCAGAGCCTTGGCTAGGACTCCGCTACAAGTCTGACACAAAGGCACTGGTGTCTGATTTCCTTGCCCCTTGGGTGCACCTTGAATGCACCTTGTGCATTCTGCAGTGCCGTTCGCAGTTTGCCCTGTACCTGCTCCCCTGACTACTCACATGTCTATGGGCCAGATCTGGATTCCAGGCCTGTCCAGCCCTGCTTGGTTAGGCTGCACTTGGCTACCCTGTGGCGTCCTGGTCCTCTTTAGAATGTTCCTTGGGTCCCATCTCTGAGCTGAGTTGAAGTTAGGACAAGAGCCTTCTTCAAGGAGGGTTAGGTCCTCTTGCAGTTGGGCCTGTCATGGTTTTCTCCGCCCTGGCACCCAGGAGACTGTCGGCTGGGCTTTGGGGCCAGAGGATGTCATTAAGGTACAAATGTGCACTGTGTTTTGAACTTAAATTTGTGGCTGTTTCTTCTGTCCTAATTGGTCAGAGTGAATTGTCCCTGGCCCTGCTATCACACTCAGCATGGTTCCAGGTAACAGCTATCTTCCAGTCGGCTCTCCCTCCCCCAGGCATTCCCAGCAGCCTGTGTGGTCATCTCTACAACACATTGAGACAGCGAGGCCTGTCTCAGAGCTGGAGTTTGGAGTGATTCTGGGAAGGGGCTTTACTGGAGGGCCTCAGTGGGGTGTCAGGAGCCTCCTTGGCCAGCCAACGTTTGCACCCCAGGACATATGTGTTCAGAGCTGGGGGGTCTGCAGGTGCCTGTGCCTCACCCCACCCGCGGGGACCCTCAGACCTCACACACAGCTCGCAGCACACTGCGTAGCTTCCACCCTTTACTGACTACGGAGCATGCGTGAAGTGGGCCCGCTGGCCGGCCAATCTGCGAGGCCCACGTCATCAGCGCGCGCCGCCCCGCCCCGCCCCGCAGCAGTGGATCTCGTAGGCAGCGGGCGGCTGCAGCGGAAGACCCTGCGCGGACCCTGGCGCCAGGCTCTCGGTCACCTCAGCCGGGCTCTCGGCAAACAAAGGCTTGGAGCGGTCGATGACGAACATCTCGTGTCCCCGCTCGTCGCGGAGCTCTTCGAGCTGCGCAAAGGTGCAGGGCCCGTCGGAGTAGTCGTTGACGAACAGCGCGCCCTCCCCGGGTGGTCCCGGCGCCTTTTTCCGCCTGCGGCGCCGGCGGCAGATCAGGGTCGCCAGCAGCAGCGCAGTGAGCGCGAGGAGCGCGATGGCCGCCGCGATAGCCGTCTGCGTGGCCAGGCCCAGGGCGCGGAAGGCCATGCTGCTCGCCTCGTGCAGGGGCTCAAGGCCGATGGGGGCAACGGCCGGGTGCGGCGGGGGCGCCAGCTGCAGACGCTGCTGGGACAGGTTGACCAGGAGCTGGAAGGGCATACTAGCGGCGCCGCCGGCGTTGGAGGCCTCGCACTCATACTTGCCGGCGTGGGCCAGGGTGATGTTGGTGAGGAAGAGCATGCCGCTGCCCGTGGCAGAGGCCCCGTGCCAGCCTGAGCCTGGCACTCCGCCTTCTGGCTGCGCCTGGACCCGCGGTTGTCCCTCACGAGGCTGGGCCACCTTTCTCCAGGTTACCAGAGGCTGCGGGTAGCCAGAAGCCTGGCAGGCAACGCGCAGGTCCTCACCCAGGTTGGCTGTCACCTCCAGCGGCTCAATGTGCACGGAAGGCGGGATGCAGATGAGGCTACTGCCGGATATGTCCAGGAGACTCTGGAGTGCCAGGCGTGGGGGCTCTGCACACATGATCTTCTTGTCCCTGGAGCTGAGCAGCCTCTGCCCTCCCTCCTTGATCCAAGCTCTCAGCCAGTGCAGGGCACAGTCACAGCGCCATGGGTTCTCTGTGGACAGAGCAGTAGTGAGCAGGTGGCTCAGACCAAAGCCTGTGCAGTTGGGTTTCTGTTGGCCAGAACAGGAGCTCCTTTGCCACCTCCCAGTGAGTCGGGGACTGCTGCCACCCCTTCTCTGACCCCAAGCTCCTTAGAGTGTGGACAGACTCTTCCTTGACCCCTTTAGTTCTGTGATGCATGTTCACTTCACTTTACCAATCTCCAAGAAATCTCATGTCCCTCTGAAGTTTCTATGCAACAAGTCCCCAACCCTGCTGTCCACATAAGCATCTTACCATCACTAAAACTTTGCAAATCTTGTCAGCCTTCTCTCTCAAGTGCTGTCTCCTGGAAATGCCCCCAATCCTGGTCTCATCTTTCCAGTTTCTGCCTGCTTGCCTTCTGATGGCCCCAAAGTGTGCAAGCCCCTGAATTGTATCTAGTTTGTTTGGGAACTTCTACCTTGTCAGTCTCCCTTACAAAAGTTCCCTGAACTGTGCCCCTACCCCGCCCCCCCCCCCCATTCCTAACAGCATTCCACTGTGGCTACTGCTGGTGGTGTGGCCCTCTGGAGAGCTGCCCAAGGATCTACAGCTCAGAGCCATTGCCATTGGAGCCCCATCCACACCTGGGCCTACTCCCTACTGCCAGCACTGTGGCCTAAGTAAGAAGATGTCTTTGCATGAGACCCCTTGCTTCAGAAAGAGGTACCTGTGAGGCGCAGGACCTGCAAGCTGGCCAGGGGCTGCAGGGTCTCATGGCTGATGGTGCTCAGCTGGTTCCTACTGAGGTCCAGCAATGCCAGTGAGGAGAGCCCAGCCAGGGCCTGGTCCTCCAGCAGCTCAATGCTGTTTTCCTGCAAGTGCAGCTCCTGTAGTCGCTGAAGCAAGGACAGCAAATCGTAAGGGAAAAGGGTCCTGGTGGACATGTCTTCTGACCAGACTAGGCTAGTTAACTTTTGTCCCCTTCACTACTCCAGCCTGGCAGAGCAGCTGGCAATACAGGAAGACCCTGCCCTTTTTCCCCACACCCCCTCACCGGCAGATGCAGGAAGGTGAAATCCAACAGCTGCACGAGCTGGTTACCAGCCAAGTAGAGTATGCGCAGCTGGGCCAGGCCTGCAAAAGCGCCAAGATGCAGGCCTCGAAGCCGGTTGCCTGTGAGTGCGAGCTCCAGCAGGCGTGACTGTGCGTGAAAGGTGCCTGGCTCCAGGGCATGAAGACTGTTATTGTGCAGGTAGAGACATCGAAGGGCGGCAAGGGTCACCAGGATGCCTGGCTCCAGGCGCATAATGCTGTTGTCCTGCAGGAACAGCGTCTGCAGGCCAGAGGGAGGGAGGGCAGGCAGGTGTTTACCCCACTGAAGGAGTGTCCCTCTAACCTAGGATCACCATCTACCCAGGATGCTCAGACACCCTTCCCTCCTGTCGATGGCACTCCTGGCCTGCAGCCCCACACGGTTCCCACCTGTGTCCCTGGCGGAATTCCTGGTGGGACGACAGGCAGCTGCAGGGCCCCACACTCCACCGTGGTGCTGTAGCAGTGGCAGTCGACTGGGCAGCCAGCGGCGCGGGGCGGGAGACTCCCAAGACAGAGCAGCAACAGCAGCAGCAGGGCCCCCGGGGCCATCTCCCGAGGGACTGGCTGCAGACCACAAAGCGGCAGCCTCCTCACCAGCTTTGCTACAGTGGGGCCCCAAATGGGATGCGCCTCCTGAAACAGTTTGGCAGGCCTTCCCCTAATGCTTGAAAGCCCACGAAGAGCATAGATGGAAGCTCACATCATGTCTAATGATTGAAAAGTTACAAATCAATTTAAGAAATGGATAGCCCTGGCCGGTTTGGCTCAGTGGTTGGAGCATCGGCCTGCAGACCAGAGAGTCCCAGGTTTGGTTCCCACTAGGGGCACGTACCAAAAAAAAAAAAAAAAAGAAACTGATAAATAAAATGTTTTCTCCCTTAACAAAAACAGTCAAGGGCATCAGGTTCCAATTTAGAATTTCTGATGTCCTGTCTTGCACACAAGCCACATGTGGAGAGCCCACCCCACCCCAGCCCCTTCTCTTTCCATCCCATCTCTGCCTGGTACTGAGCAGGAAGCTCAGGCATGTGGACGTGTGGGTGTCTTTGCCCTCTACATCCTTGCAACCAGCCAATCTTCTGACTTACGGTGCAAGGTATAGTGGTATGGGCTTGGGAGCATGTGGGTGGTGAACTCCAGGGACCAGTTCCTCAAGCATAGGCCAGACAGGGAAAAGCCAACGCAACCCCTTGTGCATATAGACTCCTCATCCAGGACTGGCATGAGACCTTGTAAGGCACAGAGTCCAGAGGAGAGGTCCCTTTTGTGCCCCCAGAACAAGGCCTGAGGCCCTATGCTGCCAGTGTCCTTGTCCTCTCTCCCACTGAGCCTTAATCTAGTCCTTGATCCCTGCATCTCATGCTGTCACTTGATGGGATGATCCACCTGTTACCACTTGATGGGAGACAAGGGTAGAACTGGTCTTAGGGGAGCAACAGCCATGAAAAAATCAAGACACTGCTTTTGTCCTGCTCCTGCCCTGGAGGGAGGGGGGGGAAACAGCTTACTGGAATGAGGGCTTGTTCTTAGGGTACTTGTTAGAGTGGGATGATAAGGCAAACAATAGAGAACATTTCAGAAGCTATGGGCCTTTCTCCATGCCGGGTCCCAAAAAGATGCCTCTTTTGGGGGATCGGTGGGGCACTGGAGTGTGAAACGGGCCACCAAATGGGTTTCTAGTGTAGTTTCAACAGTGACTTTCCGGACTGAAGGAATGCGCAGTGTGTTGGGGGTTTATACATGTGCAACTGTGATCCTAGAGAGATGAGAAGGCCTGGGTCTAGTTCTATGCACACTGAGTCCAGTTTTAAAGGTGGGGACTTGGACTGAGAAGCAAACCAGGAATGGCAGGGCTGAGGGTCAGATGTCAAAGCCTCAAGCCCCACCTCAAATGGTTCCCCCTCTGAGTACCCCCTATTTACCAGGTCTCCTGCTATCAAGAGTATGAGTCATGTAGCCTGGCTGGTGTGGCTCAGCGGATTGAGCATCATACCATGGCCTAAGAGGTCCTGGTTCGATCCCCGGTGAGGAGCGTGCAGGAGGCACCCGATTGATGTTTCTCTCACATCCACGTTTCTCTTTCTCTCATCCTTCCCCTCTAAGAGTATGAGTCATGTAGAAAGGAGCCAAGTGGCTTTGGTGTTTATTGAAATCTTGCCCTAAAGTGTAACTCAGGAGTATTTAAAGTCACTAGAGAAGAGGTAGGCACAGCAAAAGTTTTAATGGAATAGCTTTGGCCCAAGCAGAGGCAGTTCCCTGGTGTCTCAGAATGTTTTTGAAACACAGGAAGCTGGGGGATTTCTCTGGGCCCCTGGCATTTATCTCCTTGGGCAAAAGGGCTCGCCCACACCCAGCCTCCACGGGTAAGGCCTCTCCAGTAGAGAAGGTTCTTGACTTTATCCTCGGGACTCGGGGCACTGCTGCTCACACGGACACCCCTAGATGCGGATCCGTGTCGAAGGGCCAGCTGGGCAGGGATGAGGGCCCAGGCTGGAAGAGCCTGGATGGCCCTCCCACAGACCCCTAATCCGGCTGGGCAGGGGGCGGGGCGTCACACGTAGGCTTCGGGATGGCTGTCACAGCCTCCAGGGCGCCCATCTGTGCGGGGGGGGGGGGGGGGGGGGATGGTTGAGGGGAGAGGAAGGAAGCCCTGCGACCCCGTCTGGCGCAGTGCGAAAACCGAGCCGGGCATCTCGGTGACACATGGCGTCCCCTGCGCCCCTTAGAGCACGGGTCTGTCCCGGGCAATTCAGGACAGGGTGTGGTCTCGCCAGGTTACACGTCCGCGGTAAGCGCCATGGGCACACCCAGGACTACCCCGATCCCGCCCCCAAGCCCGCTGACCTTGGGTCGGGCGTCCCCTCACCTGACGCTCCCGCGGCGCGGCTCCCCCGCCGAGCCCGCTGCGCCCCAGCCCACGGAGCAGCGCTGGGCGGGGGAGGGGCGGGCGACGCTCACGCGCGCGCACTGGGGTCCCTCGCGTCTCCTGCCAGTCGCCCGGGCCAGCCGTCGCGAGCACACCCCAGGGAATCAGAGGACACCCCAGGGAGGGAAAAGAGCCCGTGACCCCGCCCCTTCCCGCCGTCGGTCGGAGAACCAGCCGCGGCAGCACCTCGGACAGCGCCGGGCGGGGCGGGGCCAAGGTGGTCTCCGACGCGCACGCGCACGCGTCCGGCGCGCTCTCCAGGTGGCGCGCGCGCAGCGACGCCGGCAGGAGGCGTGGGAGGAGCCCCCGGGGTGGTAGGGGCCCGCGGCCTCCGGCCTGACGCTCAGGGCGGTGGGCGGGGAAGCAGCAGTGGGGCCAGGTCCATGGTGAGGGCCAGGCGGCGGCCCTGCCAGCGCACGTGGGAGGGCAGCGCAGACGCGCCGGGCGCGTACTCGAAGCAGGCGCTGAGCTCGAAGGCCAGGGCCGAGCGCACCAGACCTACGCCACCCGCGCGCTCTGGCCCGGGGTGGTAGAGGCGCCCGTTGGCGGCCAGGGGCAGCAGGCGCTCCGGCTCGAAGGGCACGGCTAGTGCCTCGCCGCCGCCGCAGTAGGACAGGCGCGGGGGCCCGGGGCCCGCAGCCAGCAGATGCGTAAAGACCACCGGCCGGTCCTCGCAGCGCAGGAAGTTGCGCTCCCTGCCGCAGGGAGAAAGGAAGGGGAAGGAGGCCTCGTAGCGCCCGCTGCGGTTGGGTCTCAGACGGGAGAAGAAGGTGACCAGGAACTGCGGGTCTGGGGAGGCGAAGGACACGGGCTGCTCACCATGCCAGGCCCCGCCACCCCAGGCAAACAGCTCGCCCTGGCCACGCCAAGGGCTGGCGCCGGCAGTCGGAAAGCCACCCTGGCTTCACTCTAAATGGCGAGGCTCTTGAGCTCAGGATGCGCAGTCCCCTGCTGCGGGCGGGGTTGGGGAGCAGAGCCCTCCAAAGCCTTTCCCGAAGAGAGAAGGAAGGTGGGAGAGGAGGGCGCAGCAGTACCTTTGAAGCAGGTGATGAAGTTCTTCATTTTGGAGTCATCCAGGAAAAGCTGTAGACAAAGGGACAGGCGGTGACCCATGAATCCCAGCTGGAAGACCTTCCCAAGTCGGTGAGGTCCGGGCTGGCCTGGGCCCGGGCCTATGTCCGCTTTCTTTGCTCCTCTGTTCACATCGTGTACAGAGAAGCGCGTAGTAGATAAACCTAGGGGCCCTTCCGACTTCCCCGTATCTACCCCGTAGCCGGGGCCGTGCTTCCTCGAGCACAGGTTCGCTGAAATGGCTTTTTTCCGCGCCTTTCCCCTCAAGTTTCTACTTAGATGTGCCACCTCCGCCGCGGAAGCTACCCGACTTGCTTCCACCTGGATGTGGAGTTTGCTCCAGCCAGGGCTTCCAAACCAGGCGGGGCAGCCCAGGACTGGTGGCTGAAGGGTGCGGAAGGAACTGGGGATGCAGAGCGCGTGAGGCACATCCACGTGTGGACGTGGAGTTGGCAGCTGGGGACCAACCCTCCTCAGCTGAGACCCGGGGCGAGGCCTCTCCAACGCGTTGCCATATCTCAACACACTTGGGTTCACTAACCTTACGGACCCTGCCGACCCTTCCGGCTCCGCCCCCGCCCCTCCTGAAGAGGCCTGCTCGACCCCGCCCCTGGCCCACCTGGCCCTGATGATCCACGTAGTAAAAGTACTCCCGGGTGCGGGGCTCCGGGCTTTGGCCCTGAGTATAGGAGACGCCCCCACCCCCACCACAGGCCCGGGCTCCCGGGGACCCCGCCAAGGGCAAAGCCCAGGCCCTGAGCGCCCCGCACACCAGCAACATCGTCCTCCCGCGCCGGAAGCAGCCGGCGGGTCAGGTGGCGGCGGCGCTGCGTGAACATACGTCCCCCTGCGGCCGAGGCCTCGCGCTTTGGGTTCCGGCGAGCGCGGCGAAGGTCGCCTGCCCCGGCCTGGTCGCTCCCGCTTTCCGGACTCTGGACGGCTGAGACGCTCTTCCTTTTCTGGGCCTGTGGGGTCGGCCCACCCTGCGGTCCGATGCCGGTGCGGGTGCGGACCGGCAGTCGCATGTGCCTGTCTTCTCCCCCTAGGAAGCCACCTTGGTGCAGCAGAGCCTGCGTGTCCGACTAGGTGCTGAATAAACACTTGTCTAGAAGCCTATGCCTGGTTGGGGTAGGGCGAGTCAGAAAAAGTCCACCGCGTGGGCAATCCCGCTGGGTTTTGGGGGTCTAGTCCATTACTCAAGGTGGCCGCAGATGGCCCAGGGTGGAGTCTCCTTCCCAGCTTATTACCTTACCCCCAATCCCCAGGAAGCAGCTTTACTCTTTACCCACCCGCCTTCCCTTCCTCTCCACGCTGCCCCCCCCCCCCCCCCCCGCTTCCCCCATTCTCCCTGGGCCTGCCCAGCCAGATGGCCCATATCAGCAACCCGGCTGTCACTGCCTAGAGTCTAGGTTCTCAACCTTCCTAATGTCCAGACCCTCTAGTACAGTTCCTTGTGTTGTACGTGGGCGTATCTGCATATGGGCGGCCCTGCCTGGTGACGGATAGAGGAGCAGTGTCTCGGTTCCTAAGACCGTCAGAAATATGTTCTCCGATGGTCTTAGGCGACCCTGTGAAAAGGTTGTTCACCCCCAAAGGGTCGCGACCCACAGGTTGAGAATCGCTGGCCCAGACTCCCACAGCTACCGGAAAAAAACAGGCAGCGACTATGGCTCGCAAGTTTCCGTATGTACTTTATTCACACAGAGTTGTCACCTCTCCAATCCATGCGTCAGAGCGAGTCTGTGGCCAGGTTGCCCCGCCCAGGCCCCAAGCCCACCAGACTGAGGACACCCCCCCCACAGGGTACCAGGCCTCTGCAGGGCTGGGCTTTTTTAATAAATAAAAACTCAACTCTAAAAATATATATATATATAAACTTGGGAGAAATTAAGTTTTATAATAGGAACTGAAAATCCCAAAGTGGAAAATGTACAAACTGAGAGTTAGGTGCCCCCTCTCCCCAGCTCCAGCTTCCGAGAAGGGCAGTCCTGGTGCCCTCTGGTCCCCCAGCTCAGCTTCTTCCCTCTTGTCTGCTGCAGGTCCCCCTGGGGATGGGGCAGGGTCTGGTATTTTTTTTTTTTTTTTGCCAGAAGCCAAGAAGTGGAGAAGAAAAAGGAATGATAACTTGCTCTGCACAGAGGATGGGCTAGGATGGCTTGGAGATAAATAGCATTTGGGTTAAAACTATGTCATTAGCAAATTTAGTTTTTATAACTTTCCCTCTATATATCTATACACAGGCGGGTTGGGCTGCAGGATAGATTCTGAATTTATAGTTACACCAAGAAAAAATACTCTCATCCCTCCCCCACCCTGCCCCAAGAATGCCTGCCCAAGCCTGCCCCCCCCCCCAAGAGGACTTTGGTTTGGGGGGCCCCTCCCCACCCAGAGATAGCCTGCCAGGGCCCTGCCTGGGCCAAGCTCTGATGGTAGACAGCCCAGTGCCCTGGAGCCCCCAAACTCCTGTGCAGTTACTATGCTGGAGGCCACAGGTGGTAGGGGAATCAGGGGCAGGGGCTGGGGAAGGAGGAACCTGCAGGTCAGGAGATTGAGGGAGAGAGGAGCAACCTGGCAGAGCCCAGGCCAGGCCCAGGCTGAGCCCAGGAGCCCCTAGGAGGCAGCTTGTGCCCTCGGGCGCCTGAGTGGGGCAGTGTCACTTGGCTCCAGGAAACAGAAGGCACTTTCTGGGGGCTGACCCGCAGCTGGTGAGGGGGCAGTACCCAAGGAACTGGCCATGAGGCAGGTGAAGCCAGAGGCACCCTTCTCAAAGTTCCTCTGCCCTGGCTGAGCACTCAGGCCTGGGTGGGGAAGATGGGGTGGGGGGGTCCAGGGCTGGGGCGGGCATGGCCGGAGCCTGGCATGCTACCTCCATGTGGCTGGGGCATTCCCTCCCCCCTCCCCATGTGCTCCCCTGCCCTGGCACACCCGAGCCTGGCTGTCCCCACCTTCAGTCCTCAGCCCACGTGCTATAGCACGCCCTCCATGAAGCTGGTATCTAGGTGCTGGATGAGCACACGCAAGAAGGACATCTCCTTCCGAGTGTTCTCAAAGATGACACGTGGGTCGTCTGATCGGCAGCGCAGGCAGTTGGGTGCCATCACCATGGCCAGGTTGCTGACATCCATCTTGGTGATGGCCACATTGGCAGGCTGCACGAACACCTGCGCAAGGCAGTGGCTGGTGGGCAGGGGCAGTAGGGCATGCAGGGCGTAGGGCTGGGGTCAAAGGTACCAGTGGTGGGGGCAGAGCATGTCCCGATGATGGCGCCAGGGGCTCTGGGCTCAGCATGGTCAGGGGCCACCACACACCTGGAGGAAGCGGATGAGGTAGCACAGCACCAGGCGGTTGATGCGGGGCAGGGCGTGCACCACGGCCACGGCGGCCTCGGGGCTCTCGTAGTGCGCGATGCACTGCTCGTAGAACTCGTGAGGGATCAGGGGTTCCTCCAGCTCTCGATACCACAGCTTCAGCAGCGACGCTGTGGACACAGCATAGGGGCTCAGCCAGGCCTCAGGGCCGGCACCCTGGGCAGAGCACAGTACAGAGCAGTAGCAAGGGTGTGGAAGGGACTGGGGGTGGGCAGCAGGCGGCCTGAAGAGCCGGCAGGCGAACCAGGCTGGAGAGGCTGTTTGGCCAAGGTGGGCTGCGGCGGCCCAGGCCCTAGCAAGGTCATGAAGCTGAGGAGACCGATCCTGGAGGCCTGGGGGATCATGCTGGGGTTGACATGTGAATATGACTTCTCTGAGGAAGGGCTGTGCAGCTGCTGTGAATAGGTAAGGCTGGAGGAAGGACCCTCCAGGCGGCTGTCCAGTGGACAAGGGGTGCGCTCATTGGGAATGAGCCGGGAGCCGCTGCATCACCAGGAGCGGAACCATCTGAACTGCATGGACTGGGCCTGCCCTGCTGCCCAGGGGCCTGACGGCTCACCAGGGACGTGGGGGTCCTCCAGGCCTGTAGGCACCTTCCACTGGTCCACCTGTAGCTTCAGGGCATTCACCTCATCAATGTCCCCAGGGACTCTGTGGAGAAAAGGGCGGGCATCAGGGAGAAGGAGTGTGGCTTCCCCAGTCAGGGTTGCTCAGCCCCTCTCCTCCAGATTGGCCTCCTTCCTACCCCCAAGCAGGTGCATTCCTCTGTACAGACCCTGAGCCTGTTTTCCCAGCTGTCTTTTTGGGGTCTGGGTAGGTGAGTCATGACAGCAGGTGACTGGTCCATGGGACAAGGGAGTGTTATCCCCAATTATAGGTAAGGACCAACTGCTGGGGTTGCTGCATCTTTCCAGGTTTCCATCTCAGGCTCTGCTTACGGCTGAAATCCAACAGCTTCCTGGGCCCCTGGTGGCTACTTCTGTAGGGGCACTTACCCTAGCCAGCCCTTCTGCCTGGGTTTGGGCATGCTGCCATGCAGGGAGATAACCCTGCTGACCTGCCTCCTAAGGATGGCTCCTGCCTCCACTGGCACCAGCCAGATGCTGGCCTCTGGCTGCTCTGAAGCCTGCTGTCCAATGGCCCGTCTGCCCAAGATGTACAGTGGAGCTGCCGCGGCCCCCACACCCACAGCCCAAGTTTCAGGCACCTGAAGATGCCTTCTGTCTGGTCACCGTTGAGCGCTAGCACCTCCTCAGACAGCCGCGTCTGGACCCAGGGCAGCTGCCGCTCAGGGTAGCGCTCCTTCTGCATGCTCATGACCTCCTGCAGGGCACTGCCAAACATGGATGGGCTGAACACAGCGTTCTTGGCATGCCGGATCTCCTCCACGTTGGGCTTCTTTAGCCCCTGCAAAGACAGCCCCGCTCTGTCCCGCCAGGCCTAGCTCCCAGCCCCCAACCCCAGGACTGCCCCTGGCTTGGCTGCCCCCTCCTCTCTTTGTCCTCGAATCCCCTTGAATTCCAGGTTTCTGCCCAGCCAGAGTTGGAAACCCCCCCACCCCACCGACTTCCTGGCCAGTCACCGGGGGCCTTCTACTAGGCCATACCGCATCCAGCTTCATGGGAGAAGGGTGGGAATGACCCCTGGGTGGGCCAGTCAGGGAACTGCCTGGGGCCGGGGCCAGGCTGGTGGATGAGGGCCACAGGTGATATGCTGGGGTGGTGGTGCACAGGAGGAGCCGGGGTGGGTGCAGGCAATGGCTTCTGAAGTCTGTGGCAGGGCTAGAGCAATGCATTCAGGGGGGAGAGGAAGAGGAAAGGGGAGACCAGGCTGTGGAACAGTGGGGGGCACCTGCCTTCAACATAAGTGGGGGAGGGTCAGGTGCAGGAGGGCCTGAGGGGCTTCCTGTGTGGGGTAGTGGGTTGAAAGGGAGAGGGAGGGGTGCAGATACTGCACCCACCAGGATGGATGGGAGGGGAGGATGGCTGCAGGTTCCAACAGTCCAGGGAACAAGGCCCAGCTGTGTGGTGTGACTGAGGCCACCTGCTCTCTACAAGAGCCACAGAGGACGGGATGGGTGTGGGCCGGGGTGTGAATGTCAAGCTCCTTCAGGTGGCAGAAGTCCCCACTATGGTGATGTCAGGGAAGCGCAGGAGAGGGCGTGCTGCTGGGACCGCCTGTCTGCGCACATGGGACAGGCTCACCTGCCTGTGTGTGGGGCCACCCTTGGCTGGGGCCCTGTGATGAGTCTGGATTCTCGGACCTCCATGGCTGGCGGGTGGCCCGGTGTGAGCCAAGGAGCACAGGGCAGTCTTCTGACCCACCTGCCAGGGGTGAGGGTCCCCTCAGGGAGGGGTGGTCCCTTGGCCTGTTCTCTGAACCAGCCAGATAGTGGCAGTGGCAATGCTGCCTCCCTCACTAGGGCTGGTGGCCTGATGCCCTGGCCCAGCCACACACCTCTTTGTCTGCACTGGCTCCTGAGCTGGGGGTGCACCCCTATGGGAGGCCTTCCCTGGCTGCCTGCCCAGCACCCTATACACTATGGCTGTTGCAGCTCACCATGTGTAGGTGCCCAAGGGTCCCCACCTCCCTTTGTACCCTCGTCTAGGAGTCTCTGGTACAGCCCGCCTGACCCTGCCCAGCTGTCCTGGGAGATGCTCGTACCTTCTTGGCCCCAGTCAGGGCTGCCTTCTGCAGCTTGTGGTAACAGTACTTGGCATATGTGCTTATCGCCACCCCTGGAAAAGAAGGGATGCTGGTCGGCTTGGAATGGATGTGTGGGCACAGGGGCTGCAGGCCAGCCAGTGACTGAGAGGAAGCAGCAGAGAGGGGTGAGGAGAGGCAGCCCCTGCCAGAGCCCTGGGTGTCCTGGATTGTCTGGCCATCCCTTGCCCAGGGCAGTGGGTCCTCATTCTCCAGGGCTGTCCTTTGGAGCAGAAATCCACATGGAGCAGCAAGGAGCACTTCTTCCAGTTGCAGAAGAGCCAGGCTGGAGAGGAACTCCTTCCGCCATGTCCAGGAAGGGCAGTGTGGGTATGAGGCCTGTTCTCCAGACAAGACAAGGCAGGGCCTGGGTTCCAGGGCCTCCAAACTTCAGGCTCCCTTCCCCAGCTGGCCCTGCGCAGCCATTTCCACATGCTGTAGGCCTGGAGGTGCTCAGAAGCCCGGCCTTGAGCCAGGGCAGGGTTGGGGCTGGCTGGACACTAGGCCTAGCTCTCCTGCAATGTTGCCCCTCACTGGGGATCCTGGGCAGCCCTGGGGGCAGGCTTGCCCATGCCTGCTGGGTTGAGGGCTGCTTGAGCAGGGGTCAGGAGAGGGAGGCCCAGGCCCGGCCATGGTGGAAAGGCCATGAGTGTGGAGGGGATGCCCTGTTTGGAGCCTGGCTGTCACTGGGAGGGTGATGCCCTAGAAGGACTACCTTTGGAGGTCTGTGGGCTTTCTACAACTCCGCCCCTGGCAGCACAATTTCTTGCTGTGGGGTGTGGGGTGGGTGGTTGGGTTGGCATTCTGAGGACAAGGACCTCGGGGACCCTGGCCAGGGGGCTCTCCAGATAGAGAGATGAGGGGAGAGGGAAGAGGGACTGGGCAAGAGACCATTCTTAGGTGGGCCTGAAACATGTGGAACATCTTTTCTGGCCCAGAGAGGGAAGAGAAGGGGAAGTAGCAGTGAAACAGAGAACACAGAGTGAAGCTGAGCCCAGAGAAGCCATCTGAACCAGTTGCCATAGACCAAGGGACAGACAGACAGGTGGGCTGGATAGCACTCTGCTCTGCTGGGCCTGCCCACCCGCCCAACGGAGGCCTCTAGACCCAAGTCTCAAATCTAAATGTCTGAGTCTTTTCTGTGTGTTAATCCTCACCCTAGGATATTTTCCACTGATCTTTAGAGAGAGTGGAAGAGAGGGAGGGAGAGAAATATCTATGTGAGAGAAACATTAACTGGTCGCCTCCCACACGACCCCAACCAGGGCTGGGGATCGAACCTGCAACCTCGGTATGTGCCCTTGACCAGAATCAAACCCTTGTTCCTTTGGTCTGTGTACCCAACTGGCCATGGCTGAGACTTTTTTTTTTTTTTTTTTATCCTCACCCGAGGACATTTTTCGTACAGATAGAGTGGGAGGGAGAGAGAGGAAGGGAGAGAGAGAGAGAGAAACATCGACGTGAAGGGACTCATCGAGTGGCTGCCACCCGCACGACCAACCAGGGCCGGGGACAAACTGCAACCGAAGTACGTGCCCTTAGCGGGAACCGAACCCGGGTTTCTCCGGACCGCAGGCCGACGCTCTAACTGCTGAGCCAAACTGGCCAGGGCGTTTTTATTGATTTTTTAGAGAGACAAACATCGATCGGCTACCTCCTGCATGCCCCCACTGCATGCCCCCCACTGGGGATGGAGCCCGAAACCTGGGTTCGTGCCCTGACCAGAAATTGAATCCAGTGGCAACCTTTCAGTCCATGGGACAACGTTCAATCCACTGAGCCACACTGGCCAGGCTGAGTCTTTTATTTATTTTTATTTATTTATTTATTTATTTTTTAAAGAATTTTTTTTTTTTTTTTTTTTTTATCCTCACCCGAGGACATTTTTCCATTTTTTGTACAGACAGAGTGGGAGGGAGAGAGAGAGAGGGAAACATCGACGTGAAAGGGACACATCGAGTGGCTGCCACCCGCACGACCAACCAGGGCCGGGGACAAACTGCAACCAAGGTACATGCCCTTAGCGGGAACCGAACCCGGGTCTCTCCGGACCGCAGGCGGGCACTCTAACCGCTGAGCCAAACCGGCCAGGGCGTTATTTATTTATTTATTTATTATCCTCACCCAAGGACATTTTTTCATTCTTTGCTCAGATAGAGTAGGAGGGAGAGAGAGAGAGAGAAACATTGATGTGAAAGGGACACATCAAGTGGCTGCCACCCATACGACCCAACCAGGGCCGGGGACAAACTACAACCGAGGTACATGGCCCTAGTGGGAACTGAACCCGGGTCTCTCTGGCCGACACTCCAACTGCTGAGCCAAACCGGCCAGGGCTGTCTGAGTCTTTTAAATGAATCAATTTCTTGTAAACATGGGGGTCCTTGGACCCCAGTGTGAAAAACACAAATAGCCCTGGCCAGTTTGACTCAGCTGGCTGGGCATGTCCCACGGAGTGAAAGGTTGCTGGATTCCCAGTCAGGGCACATGCCCAGGTTGTGGGCTTCATCCTGGGTAGAGGGCAGGCAGCAGGCAGCAGGCAGGTGATCGATGTTTCTCTCTCTCTCTCTCCCTCTCGCTTCTTCTCTGAAAATTAATGAAAATGTTTTCAGTCCTGGCCAGTTTGGGTCAGTGGTTAGAGCTTTGGGCTGGTGGACCAAAGAGTCGTGGGTTCGATTCCAGTCAAGGGCACATGCCTCAGTTGCAGTTTGATCCCTGGCCCTGATTGGGGTTGTGGGGGAGGCAACCAATCGATGTTTTGTTTTTGTTTTTTTTTTCTTTCTCCTTCTCACTCTATCTGAAAAACAATGGAAATATGTCCTTGGGTGAGGATTAAAAAAAAAATTTTTTTTCAAATGGTACAAACATTAGTCATGAAAATCTTCTCATTTCTAACTTTCACAAGAGTTTTTCATTATATCTGGTAAGGGGGTTCTTTTTTAGAGTAATCAAAATAAAAACACACATTTATCATAGATGTTTGAACCCTACAGAATCTGTTTCAAGTCCCTGGGGACCCACAGACACCAGAGAGAAGATCCCAGCTGCGGCCTTTGACCAGCCAGCTGTGGCCAGGGCACCTGGACTCTGCCACAGGCTGACGTGGCCCTTCTGGTTGCACTCTTGGTTTAGGAGAACGGATGGTGCTTGAGCAACGGGCTTAGGCTGATCTGAGCACGTGGGGCCAGGAGCGCTCTGCAGCAAGGGCTGCCTGCCCCTCCACTGGGGCAGGCCCACCTCGCCCTGGGGCATGTGCCTCCTGTCCCTAGTCTTGGAGATTGGGGGAGACACGCCCTGACCACTGTCCCAGGGCTTCCTGGGGCCCAACCCAACAGGCTGTAACCTAAAGACCTACTGGCTGCCACCTCTTGGCTGGTGGTAGTGGTCAGATGCAGTCTTTCTGGGCCTGAGTCTCCTTCCTCCTCTGCAGGGCGGGACAGGGACAACACCTGTCTCACAGGTGCTGTAAAGGGCTGACCTTGGAGGCTGGTGTCAGATTTTTGGGCTGACCAGGAACTGAGGCCACAGGTGTCTAGATCCCTCTGCACCACGGGCTGTCATGGGCACAGCCTCCTGGGTCAGGACTGTGGGGTGTCTGCTGAGTGCCTGGGGTGTCACTGGCAGTGCCCATGGGCATCCCAGGGAAACCCTTGCAGTAGTGTGGGTGCTCTGCTCCAAGCCCACTGCCTGGTCTAGCCTCACCAGGGCGCATTCATCCTGCTTTACAGGTAGGGAGACAGGCTCACAGAGGGACCAACACAAATAGCTCTCCTAGAGTCTGTGCTACTGCGCCAGCGTCCGCACCTTCCTCCTACCCAGCATCTCAGGCTGCAGTGTCCTGCTGGGCAGCTCCAGGCCCACAGGACATGCTTGCTCACTGTGCCCCCAGCTCCACCTGGCTGCTGCAACTTGACTCAAGAAATGGGCTCAAGCCCTGGCCGGTTTGGCTCAGCGGTTGGAGCGTCAGCCTGCAGACCAAAGAGTTCTGGGTTCGGTTCCCACTAGGGGCACATACCAAAACAAACAAAAAAAGAAATGGGCTCAGGCCCTGGCTGGTTTTGCTCAGTGGTTAGAGCATTGGCCCAGACCAAACAGTCGCAGGTTTGATTCTGGTCAAGGGCACACGTACCTCGGTTGCGGTTCAGTCCCAGGCCCTGGTTGGGGTCATGTGGGAAGCAACCAATCGATGTCTCTCTCTCCCTCCCACTCTATCTGAAGATAAATGGAAAATATCCTTGGTTGAGGATTAAAAAAGAAAAGAATGAGCTCATGCAGGAGCTCAGAGCTCCTTCGACTCCTGTCCCAAACAAGAATGGGGCAAGGGTAGCCAGGAATCCTGGGTCACACCTGCCCCCTTCTCCTGCCAAGGGCGGCCCAGAGGAAGGGTCGAGGTGGAGTGGTCTCAGGGGAAGAGGAGCAGTTTAAGCATGGTGAAGAAGTGGGGAGGGTGGCTGGGGGCTGACCCGACAGCAATGGGACTCAGTTCCCCAGTAGGGAGGGCACAGTCTTGGGTTAACAGGGCTTCCTTAGAGCTTGGACAGGGTGGGGTTCCTAAGCCAGGGCCCCTGCTATGCCTGGACTGGAGGCCAGGGCTGGGAGGCACTTGCCATGGGAACTCCCTCACCAAACACTTACCTGGGTGCCTCCAGCAGGCCTGATCCTCAGAGCCCTGCCCACTGAGAACCCAGCATGCAAGCTGGGAACTGCTCTGACACCACAGAGAAAGGCGGCCTCTACCAGGAGCTCAGCCAGTGACCAGGGCCTCCAGCCAGCTGAGGAGGAGGCCACAGGCCTTAGGGTTAGTGCCCCCCAGCCCGGAAGTGGTTAGAGAAGAGGCCAGGTGGCCGAGCTGAGAGCAGAGCTGTGCAGACAGCGCAGGGGCTGCAGAGAGAGGCCCTACCATCTGGCTCCTCAACATAGGGCTTGGGTTTCTTTCTCAACTTGGACTTCTTCTTAGTGTTCCTTTCCAGGAGTTCCTTCATGTGCTGTGTCACTGGGGAGCAAACAGAGCCATGAGGACCATGAACACAAAGGCAGGAGTGAGTGCCCACTCACTCGGTCCCCACATGGCTGGAAGAAGCCCCTGGGCCTGCTGGGGCTGAGCCTGGTCATCTGGGAAGGTGTTGCCCCTGCCAGATTCCTCAGGGAAGACAGGGCCGCTGGCCAATGCCCAGCCGGGGACTGTTGGGGACCCCAGCACAGGCGTGCTGGTGTGAGACAAGTATCCTGTAAGCAGCCACTTCTAGCTTACACTCTGGGGATGGGTGTGGGGTTGTATATGTGAGCTATCTGGGCCGTGTGGTTGGGCAGGTGCCAGGGGCCCTCTGGGCACCATGGGGCAGGGCAGTCAGCTTATGACCCGTTCTCACAGAAAGGCAGGGGTGCAGCCTCTTCTCAGATGGTTGCACCCCAGGCCTGCTCCTGAGCTGCTGCTGGAGGGGCTGGGGCTGCTTTCTCAGGCTATTCTGGGCGCTCCTCCCACTCTGTATAAAAAACCCACAGTGGAAGTGGACCCTTTGCTCCCTGTGCGTGCTCTCTAGAAGGAAGTTACTGCATGGGCCACACTAAGTGTGGGAGTTTCCCTGGTGGCGGGCCATCTACATCCTTCACGGGAGACATCTACCTAATCTTTATATCGGGATGGAAACGCAGATCTTGATTTTTACACTTTGGATTATAATCTGATACAACTTTATTTTGTTGCTCAAATTGCTCCAGCTTTAGGCTCTGGGAGCTCTTTTGGTGGCTCCTGTGTCCTGTGACACACCCATCGTCCCCCTCGCCCTCCAGCATGTCCTTGCTTTGGTATTGTGAACATTCCCTGCATCAGCCCTAGAATTAGCGGTTTCTCCAAGGAGCTCTGATTCCGTTAAACAGAAAATGGTATTAGAAATCAAGATCTGGCCCTGGCTGGTTTGGCTCAGCAGTTGGAGCATTGGCCTGCGGACCAGAAAGTCCTGGGTTCGGTTCCCACTAAGGGCACGTACCAAAAAAAAAGAAAAAAAGAAATCAAGATCTGGGTGTCAGGTGTGCTCACTGCTATTGGGGGCACCACTACTTCTGGGTGTTCTCGGCTGACATTCAAGGGAACATGTGTACTGGCATTGTCCTACACTGGTGCCCCCAGCTCTGGCCCATCGCCACATGGGTCCTTCTAGCCCCTCTCCTTGCTTGTCTGTGACTGGCTTATCTGTTCATTCTCGTAACGTGTCTTCTGAACAGATTTAATTTCGATGAAGTCAATTTATCCATATTTTTGTCTTATAGATAGTGCTTTTAGTGTCATATGTAAAAACCTTTGTTTAACTCGAGGAAACAGAAAATGTTCCCTGTTTTGTTTGAGCAGTTTTATAGTTTTAAATTTTGGTTTGTGATCCATTTGAGTTAACTTTTGCATACTGTACAAAGTATGGATTGGAGCTCATCTTTTTGCATTTGGATAGCCAACTGTCCTAACACCATTTGGGGAAACCACATTCCCCTTTTCACTGTGTGGGTCTGCTTTTAAGCTGCATGGTGTCCACTGGCCCACTGCTGCCTGTAGCTAACACCGCATTCTCCCGATTACTGCAGCTTTAAATAAGACTTGAAATCAGGTAATGTCAGTCCTCCAACTTCCTTTTTTTTTAAAAAAAGGTATTTTGGCTATTCTAGGTTCTTTCCATTTTCTATTAATTTTATAAATAACCTGTTAATTTATAAATTAAGAAAACTATTAAGATTTATATTAGGACTGAATCTATAGAACAATCTGGTAGAAGTGACATCTTAACAACGTTGAGTCTTCTGATTCATAAACACGGTATATCTCTCCATTAAATTAGGCCTTCCAGACTTTCAGCAATGTTTTGTATTTTCAGCATAGAAGTGCTATACATCTTTTGTTAGATTTATCCCTAGGTTTATGCTATTTTAATGCCAATGCAAATGATATTTTAAAACACCCATTTCCAATAGTTTGTTGCTAACATATAGAAACATGATTCTTATATCTTGCAACCTCGCTAAACTCACTTGTTAGTTCGAATAGTAATTTTATACATCTCACAGGATTTTGTACATAGAAGACTGTGTTGTCTGTAACTAAAGACAACTGCACACTTCCTTTCCCATCTGGATGCCTTCTGTGTCTTTCTCAAGACTCTGCCCTGGCTAGGCCCAGAAGTGGAGGTCCTTACTTTGGTCCTGATCTTAGGGAGAAAGCAGCCAGTCTTTTATCTTCTGTAGAATTCTGGCTAGAGGATTTTTTTCCTAATTGTGGTAAAATATAGATGTAAAAATATGGCCACTGAACCATTTTAAGTGTACAAGTCAGTGGCATTAAGAATGTTCACAATGTCATGTAATCAGCACAGCGACTTCCAAATCCCTTCATCACCTCAGACAGAAACCCTGTTCCCATTAAGTAGTAACTCTCATCCCATCCTCTCCCAGCTCCTGGCGATTCTAATCTCCTTTCTGTCTCTATTAATTTGCCTATTTTAGATATTTTATAATCTTGTTAACTCCCCTGTAATACAATCCCTGCCTTGCTTTCTCTGACCTCCATGGAATCTTCCTTAATTCCCTCCTTAATCTCAGACACATAAAAGGAACTGCAAAACTGCCATTCTCTGGAGCACAAGTATCTGTTCAAGCCCCTGCTTTCCATTCTCTTAGGTACTGTAGATTTTTATAGATGCTTTTTATCAGGTTAAAGAGGTTCCCTTCTATTCCTAATTTGTTTAGTTTTTGTCAGAAATGCAAGGGTGGAGCCCTGGCCGGTTTGGCAGCAGTTGGAGCATCAACCTGCAGACCAGAGAGTCCCAGGTTCGGTTTCCGCTAGGGGCACATACTAAAAAAAAAGAAAAGAAAAGAAATTCAAGGGTGGATTTTTTTTTTTTATCCTCATCCGAGGACATTTTTCCATTTTTTTGTTCAGATACAGTGGGAGGGAGAGAGAGAGAAATATCGACATGAAAGGGACACATCGAGTGGTTGCCGCCCGCACGACCAAACTGCACCCGAGGTACATGCCTTTAGCAGGAACCGAACCCAGGTCTCTCTGGACCGCAGGCTGACGCTCTAACCGCTGAGCCAAACTGGCCAGGGCAAGGGTGGATTTTGTCAAATGCTTTTTCTACATTTATTGAGATGATCATATGGTTCCCCTTTTTCTCTCTGTTGAGTGAAAAATTACAATGTTTGATTTCTCAATGTTAAACCAACCTTTGATTCATTGAATAAACCCCATTCAAGACACATACTTTTTACATATTGGTGGATTCAATTTGATAAAATATTGTTAATGATATGGTCTGTGCTTTATTTTCTTATAATGTCCCTTTTGTAGAATTCTGACTAGAGGATTTTTTTCCTAATTGTGGTAAAATATAGACATAAAAATACAGCCACTGAACCATTTTAAGTGTACAATTGGGAAATATTCCCTCCACCTCAATTTTCTAGATGAGTCTGCAAAGAATTGCTATACAAACAATAAAATGTTTGGTAGAATTCACCAGTGATGCCATCCGAGCCTGGGATTTTTAAGCATCAATTAAATTTTTTGGACAGACTAGAATATTAAAACCATGAAAACTAATAAAATTTCTTGAAAAGGTACATGATTTTTCTCATTATCTATTCCCCTTACTCCCCATTTTTCTTCCTGCAGAAAGTTGCAATTTGGTTATCTATTTCTTGTTGTGTGATCTTTGGTAGTTTGTGTCAAGGGAATCTGTCCATTTCCTCTAAATTGTCAAGTTTATTGGCATAAAGTTGTTAATAATATTTCCTTATTATGAACATCTATTCACTCTGTAGTGATATCATTTTCCATTCTTGATGTTGGTAATTTATGCCTTTTCTATTTTTGTCTCTTCTGATCAGTTTGGCTGAAGGTATGTCAATTTTATTGATCTTCTCAAAGAATCAGCATTTTATTTCACTGATTTTCTGCATTTTTCTCTATTTCTCTTTCACTGATTTCTACTCTGATCTTCATTATTTCCTTTCTCCTGCTTACTTTCTATATAATGTACTCCCTTCACCCCCCCACCCCCTTTTTAGAAGTTTCTTAAAGTAGAAGCTGAGGTCATTGACTTCAGATCTTATTTTCTAATATAGACATTTAGGTGCTATAAATTTCCCTCTAAGAACCGCTTTGGCTGCATCCTACATATTCAGAATGTTTTGCTTTCGTTTTCTTTCAGTTCAAATTACTTTCTGATTTTCCTGTTGATTTTTATTTGACCCATGGGTTATTCAGTAGTACATTTTTTAGTTTCCAAATACTTGGAGTTTTCCAGATATCTCTGTTTTACTGGTTGCTAATTTAATTCTGCTGTAGTTACAGAACATGCTTTCTATGCTTTACATTCCTTAATATTTATTGACATTTGTTTTACAGCTCAGAATATGGCCAATTTTGAAAATGTGGATGGGATTTGAGTCCAGATGCTCTGGGTCTAGAATCTATGCACTCACTTATTCCATTGTAGCTGCTTTTTCCCCTTAAACAGACTTTCATCTAGTTCTTTTGTTTTAAGCTTCAAGGTCACCCCTTTCCAAACCATTGTTAGAGGAAGATGGTTCCACCCACTACTGAGCTTTTAGTTTGCTACCTGTTTCGACTCCTGAACTTTTCCACTGTTTGCTTGGGACACACCTTTCTTGGTCTGCCAAGTCAGTTTCCTGCGACTTTTCCATGTGCTTCTCAGCTTCTAAAACATACTTCTTCCTCCTCCACTCTCTTTGTTCTTGTGGGTTTCATTTTTTTATTGTCATAAATACACATAACATAGAATTTACCATTTTAACCATTTTAAGTTGTACAGTTTAATGGCATTAAGTATATTCATATTGCTGAGCAACAATCACCACATCTGTCTCCAGAACTTTTACATCTTCCCAAATGGAAACTCTGTACTCATTAAACAATGACTCTTCATTTCTCATTCCCCCTAACCCATGGTAACTGCCATTTCACTGTCCGTCTCTATGAATATGACTACTCTAGGGGCCTCAAATGAGTGGAATCATATGGCACTTGGTCTTCGGTGACTGGCTTCTTTCACTTAGCATAATGTCCTCGAGATTCATCCATGTTGTAACATTTGTCAGAATTTCCTTCTTTTTGAGCTTGAATAATATTCCATTGTGTGGACAGACTGCATTTTGTTTGTATATTGGTCTGTCTATGGACATCTGGTCTGCTTCCACCTCTTGGCTATTGTGAATAATCTGCTGTGAATATGGGTGAGCAAATATACTTTCAATTCTTTTGTGTATATACCCAGAATTGCTGGATCTTATGGTAATTCTACATTTGATTTTTTGATGAATTGACATTCTGTTTTCCACAGCGGCTGCATCATTTTACATGCCTTTGTGAGTTTTGTTTTTTGCCTTTTAAAACTTCTTTCACTATTCTTTTAGTAGGAGTTCAAGATTGAACCCAAGTAAATGCGAGTGTTCAATCTGTCATCTTTACCTGGAAGCCCATAAGTACTACTGAGGCGTGAATGTGTGAGCAGTAAATGAAATCCCCAGGGCCTGCAGTCTTGTAATGTGCTCCTTTGCAGAGCAAATGGCAGAGCTGCAGTGTGTGTGTTTACCAACAAGCACCCCTGCAATGTCTGTGTGAAAGCCTGCTGAAGGAAGTCCCAGGGAGACAAACTGATATTACCCTGCTGGTGGCGGGCATAGGGGAACGAGGAACACGTGAACCAGGGTTCACTATGTTCTGCTTTGGTTCCTAAGGGTGGTGATCACAGAGTAAACATCACACACATGCTAGTAGACGAATCAAAGGCTTCTGAGGCTGCAGCAGACAGTATGGTCCCAGGTGAGGTGCCCTACATGGCAGCGGGCTCAGCCCTGCCCTCGCTGGTGATCCTGAGAGAGGCTGCAGTTCCCTTGTTCTGAATAGAGGCAGCATCCTCCTGGGCTGCTGAGGCCTGCCTTACTGATCAGCCAGCACCCATGTTCTTGACAAGGGCCAGTGGGAAGGAGTGCAAGGCCTCTCCTCTGGGCTCACTGCTGAGCAGGACCTGCAGCAGACACCAGGAGTGGGTCTCAAGGCTAGGGAATAGCCCTGTGCTATAGCCCAGATCGCATAGCCCAGACACAAGTCTGCCAGTGTGACCATAGAGGCCCAGACCACACGGCATTCCAAGACCACCCTGGCCTCACTCAGCCATAACTGCCTAGGGCGATCCAATTCCCTCTGACACTCCAACCAGGCTCTTACAGCATAGACACTAGGACAAAAGTGCACAAACTTCTGTACCAAGGAAAGTGTCCTGCCAGGCCCTGGATGAGGGCTAGAGGCCAAGCTCCCTGAGGAAGCCCTGGCAGGCAAGAATGGCCCTGGCAGTCTCTGACCTGTGTCTGTACACTGTTCACTCACCTTTTACCTCAGCAAGCCTTCCCTGGGAACTTGAGGGCTGCATGCTGGGCAGTAGACACTTTTCCAAGCTTTCAACTCAAAGTAGTGACACTGCAAGGCCTTTGATAGAGGCTGAGCTGAACCACGAGCCAACGGGAGCCCACTTGCTCCTGGAAAAGCCCGAGAATACTGAGGCAAAGCCAGGCTGTTCACCAGCCTGCATAGGTGCACGTGCGGGAAGCTGCTTGGGAAGATCTTCCTGCTGTATTCAGTGCTTCAAAAACTGCATGCCTGGATGAAAACTGCATGGCTCCCAGGATCTACTCCCAAACAACTGACATGCTGGATGGTGCCTGTGCTCCGTCCCTTTCCCTGAGACCTAGCACTGTCCTGCCCTGCAGCCCACCTGTGTGTACACATGTGCTGGTCCCCCCACACCTGGGCTGGGTGCAGAGTCACTCCTGCAGAGCAGGCCATGGCGTCTGACCTGCAGAGCGTGTGTGTGTGAGCATGAGTGAGCATATGTATGCCCAGATGCTATTTATGGTCCTGTCCCCGTGCTCACTCTGCCTGGCCCAGGACTCCGGTCAGCCGCTTGGCTGGCAGCACCATGGCCCCAAGTCCTCCCTCAAGCAGGCCAGGCCTGGGTCCAGATGAACCCGACACTTGGCCTTTGGGAGCCCAGGGTGGAAACTGGCCCTGTACTTGGCCCGAGACAGCTGTCAGCAGGTGGCTACCTGTGGTGGTCCCAACCTCTGACCCCTTGGGGAAGCTCAGGACCAGCTCAGCCTGCAGCACCCTAATGGCCTGCTGGTCTTGCCAGACCCAGTGCTGGGCCCAATACATGCTATGGTCATCATGCTCCTCCCTGCTCTCAGGAACCCTCCTCTAGGACCCCAGTTCTCCCCAGAACAGACAGCCTGAACCTGACCAGGGTGGTCAACACCCCAGGCCAAAGGATATCTGAAAGTGAATGCAGCAAGTGCACATGGGCCAATTGTGGTCTCCCTGCCCTCATCAGGTAGGGCAACCAGCTATAGTGGCCTCAGGGCAGAGTGGACACCGATTGGCTGAGACATGGATGCCATGCATCCTCGTCCTGGCCCTCATTCTGTTGGCCTACGGCTCTTCTCAGGGCCTCAGTGCCAAGGAGGGGCTCCTTGAGGACTCTGAGCTCCAATGGAAACCCAGGCGTTTGCCTGGAGGGGTTGCAACTGCCTCACATACCTGTTGCCTTTGAGGTGCCGCCTAGCACAGGCCATGAAGCTCTCAGCTCGGCCCTCACCTGGCTGGTGACAGAGCGTGGGGTGCCAAGGGCCGCACGTTGGGGGCCTTACCTTTGGTGTCATTGACAGGGTCCATGTGCCGGTAGATGTAGCCCTCCAAGTAGGAATGAAACTTGGGTGTAGGTGGGAAGAAGGCCAGGCAGATGGCCATGAGCTCCCAGCCCCGGGCCAGGCTCTGCAGGCGGAAGTTCTCTGTGGTCTGCCGGCACAGTTGGATGTACAGCTCGTCCCGCAGGCCCTGCACGCTCCAGCCCTTGGTTGCGATCTCCAGGGCCACATGCAGCGGGTCTGCCTTGGCACGCCGGTCACCCATGTACATCTGGATCAGCTTGAAGATCTCACACGCCTCCTTCTTCACGTGGCGGTCGCTGGTCACGATCATGGGCTTCTTGATTGACTCGCTGCTCCAGGCCAGCATGTTGGCGATGGACACCTTCCGCCGGAATAGGCCCTGCGTGTGCTTGTTGAAGTGTTTGGAGGCCCAGTTCTCGATGTCAGTCTCTGAGGACGGCTTGCGTAGAGTGAACGTGGGGAACACACAGCTGGCACTGGGCATGACGCTGCGAGTCTGTCGGCTGCTTTCAAACTGGGCACAGGAGCCTAGGTCCTCGGACTGGGAAGGAGAGAGAGGCTGTGAGGAGGTGGGGACCCTACCTGACCCAGCCAGGTGAGAGGCAAGGTCACCCCCTCCCCCACGTTGGCCCCAAGGTGCTGGGTGGCGCTGTCAGGTAACTGGCTGGCAGGGGAGGCAGGGCAGCAACACTTGGGTATCCCCAGGGTGAGGCCAGGCCTGCGCCTCCAGCTTTGTGCCTCCTCAGTTCTACCGGCCTCAAAGATGTGCAAGCATCCTTTCCACGCAAGGCTGTGCAGGGAGCCAGAGCGGCCCCCTCCCTGCTCCCAAGACCAAGGGTAGGAGGGCCAGCACAGATCTGGAGGAAGCCTCTTCCTGTCTGTCTTGTTGTCCATTGTCCTCCTGTGCTACAAGCCATGGACAGAAATGTGCTCTTAGCTGCCACAGGGCTCAGGGACCACCCAAGGTCTCTGGGCCCTTGGGCATGTTTTTCCTGGCAGGGCTGGGAGTGGACATGAGGAGCCTGACACTGAGAGGCCTTTTGACCACTGCCAGTTCTGAGCAGATGCAGGGTAGACCCTCTATGTGGCTTCATTAAGCAGGTCAAGAGGTGAGAACCAGAACATCAGCCTACTCCAAGTTCTGGGGCACCAAGTTCCCAGCATGTGACCCAGACAGAAGGTGCACGAAGGTTCCTAGGCCTGGTGCTGCCCCAGAAGGACCATCTGGCCAGGCCTTGGCTTCAGCCACAGCTACAACCCAAGGTCCTGGGGCCTCCGGCCACAGGGCTGGTATGGGAGCCTTGTTGGGAAGGGCTCTGAGCCACCAGAGTGCCCATGCCTGCCTGCACTGCTCCTCACCTGACAGCCCATTCACTGGTGGGAAAGAGGGTCAGACTCGGTGGGCATGTTCACCCATCTCCCCTGCCTCCATGGCCTGGAATCAGGGCATGGCCTCTGGCCCTCAGGTGACCTGCCAGCACCTGGGTGGGCCTTACCAGGAACAGAGGTGAGGGAGCCCTGCCCTGGGGGAGTCCTTGGAGCTATTTGCTGCCAGAACACATGGAAGTCAGCAGCAGTGAATGCCACACCACATGCTGGGACCACCACCTGCCCCACCCCTGCCCACCAGCTGTGTGCCTGTACCTGTGACGGGTGGAGGTAGGGTTCGGGTGAGGCTAGGTTGGTCTGCACAGAGACGCTTTTCTCGAGCAGGATCTGGGGGAAGGCGAGCCTCTCCAAGGCGCCCCTCTGCCAGTGCTTGCTGCTCTCCTGCTGGGCCAAGGCCTCATCCTCACTGAAGGCGCGCACCACAGGCCCTGGCATGGGGAGTGGCACAGCCCCGTCGCTCTCGTAGCCTGAGCCATCCTGCTGGGAGTCCCAGCTGCCTCTCTGCTTCATGTGGAAGTGGGCCTGCTGCGCCTCCCAGGCCAGCCTTGCCTGTGCCAGGAAGGGCTCAGCCCCGCCCCGTGCCCCATCTGCCTCGCCTGTCTTAGCCTCCATGTGCTTTGGGGCCAGGCTGGGGCCACACTTGGGCCGCTCCTCAGCCAGGGACTGCGGGAGCAGATCTCGGTCCCCAGGGCTGTCGGTAGATGTGCCACTGGGAGCATGACACAGAGAGGGGTTCCTGCTCTTTCTCTTGCGGGTGCCCGGGGAGTAGCCTGTCGAGGACATGGTGTCCTGCTGGCTGGACCAGGACATGGCATCGTCCTGAGCCTGAGGAAGTGGAGAGGGCGGAGGGGCATGTCTCAGCTCAGGCCCCTCCATGCTGCTATAGTCCCCGGATGTGGTCCCCAGGCGCTGGTCCCGCAGCAGGCAGGGGCTGGGTTGTAGGGAGAGTGAGCCCCCACCAGGGTTGGGTGTGTACTTGTGCCGAGGGCCTGCCCGCAGCCTGGGGCTCGAGCCCGCCTGCTCTACATACACCAGCTGCCGCACATATTCCTTGCCGGCGGGGCTGTACTCAAGGCTCAGGAAGCGCTCTGGGCACTTCTGCCGGGTGAGCACCAGCTGCTGGAAGGGCGAGGCGGAAGCCTGCTTGGGCGACTGCGGGAAGGGCACTGGCTTACGGCCTGGAGACCGCTGGGGTGAGCCGCCCTGGCAAGCCCCGCTGGCCTCATACTGCACATCCATGGGGGGTTCATCGTAGATAGGGGCTTGGTACTCAATGGGGGGCTCCTCATAGAGGGGAGGCTCATAGGCATAGCGTGGGGAGGAGGGCTGTGAGTCACAGGCAGGCTTGCGGGGCTGGGCCAGCAGTGGGGAACAGCTCCCCAGCTCAGACCTCTTCAGGAAGGGTGATGGCCTCCGCTCAGGAAAGAAGACCGAGCCGTCTGTGTCCAGGGCAAATGTCTGCATGCTGGGTGAGTGCTGCCCACCCGAGGGTCTGCGGGAGCGGCCCCCAGGCTGGTTGTCCAGGGGGTACCCGTTGCCCTGGGGGGAGAGGAAGCTGGGCTCCCGGTCTGCAACTTTGATGAGCATCCGCTCCTTGGTGCCTGAGTTCCACCGGAGGGAGGAGGTCCTGGTGGAAAGGGACAGGCACAGGTTACCTGGAGAAGGTCCTAGGGGGGCACAGGCTACCTGGCAGAGGTGGAAGTCTGGCCCTGCTGCCAGCCTGGACCCATCACCCACCCACCCTGGCCTTAAGCATGTCTGGAGTCAGGGCCCAGAAAGCCTGGTCATTTCTCCTTCTCTTCACCTGCCCTTCACACCATGGGGGCAGTGGGTTGTGGGACCTGGTACTTATAAGAGGGCTCCCTGTAAAGGACCAGTGCACCCTTCATTGCTGTAGCCCCGGAAGAGCTGCCTTCCTGTCCCAGGAGCTGCCCTCCCACACCTGACTTTCGGGGAGGCTCTCCCACCAGGGAGCTTCCCCCAGGCCCCGAACTGGACACTCTCTGCAAGGGCCATGGCTGTCTCTGCTCTGATCCCAGCCCAGCACCACTTCTGTGATGGACAGCAGGGGCAGCCCTCCCAGAGGCTTCTCTGACTGTGGCTTGGTGAGTGTATTTCCCTGTAGGCCTACCTCACAAGCTCAGCACGGCCCCATACCCTGTGCCCCCATGCATGGGCATTCTGGGCCTTGTTTTCAACCACTGAGGCTCCTATGAGCTACAGAAAGGCTGTGTCTTCTTGTGACTCTGCCCTCACAGTTAGGACTCTGTACCTGGACAGAGATGATAAACTGCTCCCTGGTGCCTATTAAACCCCAAATCAGACCAAGGGCACCCATAACCCTGAGGGCCATGCTGGACTCTGAGCCTCACTTGCTGGGTGACAACGCAGGCAACACTGCCCCTGGGTCGAGGCTGGAAGGTACTCAGACTCAACGTCCACACTGCACTCTGCCTGAGGGCAGCATGGCGGCCACTCCAAGTACTGGACCTAGAGTCCAGAAGAGATGGTGGGGCTCACCTCTAGCCACCTGCTCTCTCCCTCAAGTGATTTTGGGCTGCTTTCAAGAAAGTTGCGTTTCCCTGACGACATGCTGTGGAACATTTCTCGTGCTTAGTTGCCATCTCTACATCTTCTCTGGTGTCTGTTTAAGTCTGGCCCATTTTAAAATCTAAAATCTGGTTTTCTTATTGAGTTTTAAGGTATTTTGGAAAAGTCCTTTATCAGATGTGTCTTTTGGAAATATTTTCTATCTTAACTTGTCTTCTCATACATTGTCTTTCACAGAGCAGAAGCATTTTTTGAAAAATCTTCACCTGAGGATATTTTTCCACTTATCTTCAGATGGCGGGGGGTGGAGAGAGACATCGATGTGAGAGAGACACATCGACTGGCTGCCTCCTGAACCGCAACCGAGATACATGCCCTTGCTGGAATCGAACCCACGACTCCTTGGGATGCGGGCTGACGCTCTAATTGCTGGGCCAAATCAGCCAAGACAGAAGCTCTTAATTTTTAGCAAAGCTCAGCTTATTATTTCTTTCACGGATTGTGCCTTTAGTGTTATATCTAAAAAATCACCACCATAGCCCTGGCCGGTTTGGCTCAGCGGTTAGAGTGTCGGCCTGCGGTCCGGAGAGACCCGGGTTCGGTTCCCGCTAAGGGCACGTACCTCGGTTGCAGTTTGTCCCCGGCCCTGGTTGGTCGTGCGGGTGGCAACCACTCGATGTGTCCCTTTCACGTCGATGTTTCTCTCTCTCTCTTCCTCTCTCTCCCTCCTGCTCTGTCTGAACAAAAAATGGAAAAATGTCCTCGGGTGAGGATAAAAAATAAAAAAAAATCACCACCATACCCAAGCTCATCTAGGTTTTCTCCTGTGTTATCTTTCAGGAGTTAAATTTAGTGTTTTACATTTAAGTTTGTGATCCATTTTGAGCTAATTTTTGTGAAGAGTGTAAGGTCTGTGTCTAAATGCATTTTGCACGTGGATGTTCAGCTGTCCCAGCACCATCTATGGAAAAGACTGTCTTGCTCCATTGTATTGCCCCTACACCTTTGTCAGAGACCAGCTGACTATATTTATGGGGCAGATTTCTCGACTCTCTATTCTGTTCTGTTGATCCATTTGTTTATTCTTTTGCCGTTACCATGCTGTCTCCATTATAGAAGCTTTTTTTTAATCCTCACCCAAGGACTTTTTTTTTTGCATTTATCTTTATATAGAGGGAAGGAGGGAAGTAGAGAGAGAGAAAAATATCGACATGAGAGAGACACATCGACTGGTTGCCACCCACATGACCCCAACTTGGGCTGTGGACAGACTGCAACCGAGGCACGGGCCCTTAGCGGAAACCAAACCCGGGACTCTCTGGTCCGCAGGCCAACGCTCTAACTGCTGAGCCAAACTGGCCAGGGCCATTACAGAAGCTTAATAGTAATCCTTGAAAGCAGAAAATAATGGTCTTCCCACGATGTTCTTGAATGTTGTGTTGGCTATTCTGGGTCTTTTGCCTCTCCATATAAATTTTATTTTTTATTTATTTATTTTTTATCCTCACCCGAGGATATTTTTCCTTTTTTTTTTTTTTTTTGTACAGATAGAATGGGAGGGAGAGTGAGTGAGAAACATCGACGTGAAGGGACACATCGAGTGGCTGCCACCCGCACGACCAACCGGGGCCGGGGACAAACTGCAACCGAGGTACGTGCCCTTAGCAGGAACCGAACCTGGGTCTCTCTGGACTGCAGGCCGACGCTCTAACCGCTGAGCCAAACTGGCCAGGGCTCTCCATATAAATTTTAGAATCAGTTTGTTGCTATCCACAAAATAACTAGCTGGAGTTTTTACTGAAATTGTAAAGACTCTATGGATCAAGCTGGGAAGAACTGACATCTTGACAATATTGAGTCTGCCTACTCATGAACATGGAACACCTCTCCATTTATTCAGTTTTTCTTTTATATCTTTCATCAGAATTTTGTGGTTTTCCTTATAGATTTTACATATTTTATTCAATTTGTACCTAAGTATTTCAGTTTGGGGTTGCTAATGTAAATGGTATTGATTTTAGTTTAAAATTCTACTTGTTTATTGTTAGTATACAGGGAAGCAATCGACTTTTATACATGGACCTGGTACCCTGTAACCTTGCTATAATCACTTATTAGTTCTAGAAGTTGTTTTTTGTTTTTTTTAATGTGTGTAGTAGCTTCTTTAGGATTTTCTACATAGATGAACATGTCATCTGTGAACAGAGTTTTATTTTTTCCTTTGCAATCTGTACACCTTTTATTTCCTTTCCTTGCCTTATTGCACTAGCTTGGGCTTCCAGTATGGTGTTGAAAAGCAGGAGTGAGAGAGGACATCCTTGCCTGGCTCCTGATCTTAATGGAAAAGCTTTGAGCTTCTCACCATTAAGTATGTTGTTAGATAGAGGTTTTTTGTAAATATTCTTTATCAAGTTGAGGAAATTCCTCTCTGTTCCTAGTTTACTGAAAGGTGTTGTGTGTTTTTCCCCCATCACAAATGGGTTTTGGATTTTATTGAGTGATTTTTCTGCATCTGTTGATATGACCACGACTTCTTCCTCTTTGGCCTGTTGATGTGATGGGTTATACTGATTTTTGCATACCTAGGATAAATCCCACTTGGTTGTGCTGTATAATTCTTTTAAAACATTATTGGATTTGATTCGCTTATATTTTGTGGAGGATTTTCATATCTGTGTTCATGAGGCAGATTGGTCTGTCGTTTTCTTTTCCTGTAATGTCTTTGTCTGGTTTTGGAATTAGGATTATGCTGACCTCACACAATGAGTTAGGAAGCATTCCTTCTGCTTCTGTCTTCCAAAAAAATCTGCCAGAACCCATCTGGGCTTAGTGCTTTCTGTTTTGGAAGATTATTAATAATTGATTCAATTTATTTAAGAGATATAGACCTATTCAGATTGTCTATTTCTTCTTGTGCAAGTTTTAGAAGATTGTATCTTTCAAGGAATTGGTTCACTTCATTTTGGTTATCAAATGTGTGTCCACAGACTTATTCATATAATTCTTTCATTATCTTCTTTTTTGGTATGTGCCCCTAGTGGGAACCGAACCCGGGACTCTCTGGTCTGTAGGCCAATGCTCCAACCGCTGATCTTATGAGCCAAACCGGCCAGGGCTTTCATTATCTTTTTAATGCCCATGGGCTCTACAGTGATATCTCCTCTTTCATGTCTGATACTAGTGTCTTTTTTCTTAGCCTGGCTAGATGCTTATTGATTTTATTAATTATTTCAAAGAACCAGCTTTTTTTGTTGTTGATAATCCTTACCCAAGGATATTTTTCCATTGATTTTTTTCGATAGAGTGGAAGGGAGGGAGAGAAACATCGATATGAGAGAGACACATCGATCGGCTGCCTCCTGCACAACCCCAAGTGGGGTCAGGGATCAAACCTGCAACCCAGGCATGTACCCTTGACCAGAATCAAATCGGTGACCCTTTGGTTTAAGGGCTGAGGCTCTAACTGCTGAACCAAACCAGCCAGGGCCAAAGGACCAGCTTTTTGTTTTGCTAATTGTTAACATTAATTTCCCAATTTCAATCTTATCAATGTCTGCTCTAATTTTTATTTTATTTATTTTTCCAATAGGTTTACTTTTCATTCACATGGTGTGTAGTTGGCCCAACAGGGGCCATCAGACACTTCAGCAACCAGAAGCTTTTTCAATTCTATCTGACTTTTTCCCTAGAAAAGCTCTCTATGAAATATGAAGTAAGTCAGAACAGTCTGGAAGTCCTGCATGGGTCCAGTTTCAGTGTGATGGCACTTCCCCATTCCTCCTCTAGTTCACAGACCACTTCATGTAGCCACTTGGGAAGAATTTTTCTTTCTTAAAAAAATTTTTTTTTTCTTTATTGCTTTTTTCAGAAAGAGAGGAAAGGAGAGAGAGAGACAGACAGAAACATCGATGAGCGAGAACATCAATTGGCTGCCTCCCACATGGCCCCCACTGGGGTTCGGGCCCACAACCTGGGCATGTGCCCTGACCAGGAATTGAACTGGCAACCTCTTGGTACATGGGTCGATGCTCAACCCCTGAACCACACTGGCTGGCTGGGTGGGCCATTCTCTTTTCT